TTTTCAGATCAGTCCACCGTCTTGTTGCTAGGGAGGGGTATTTGAATCCTCCCCTTATTGTGTAACTTCCTCCACTGTCTGCCATTCGATTACGTCCAGGTTGCTATTATTTTGTTTTGAAGCTCGTGTAAGCAGTTTGGCTGTGTGCGCTGACAGTCTCCCTTTGGAGATTCGAGGCGTCAGAAGTTGCAGCCGAGCCTGAACTTCTGGCCAGCCTTAATTTGCAGTGTGCGAAGCTTTGGATGGGTCCCCCAGGCGACAGAGACGGCCGCTGCTTCCAGGGCGGCCACAGAGCAGTCCGGCAAACGTGCTAAAAGCCGCATTCGTGCCAAGCCTAGCTCCTCTGCATTCAGCTCCACTGTAGAGATAATTACGCACCCCCCCCCCCCCACCACCACCCCCACAGGACTGAGATGAACCCACTGCAGCAAAGGACCTGACTCACACCTCCCTGCATCTCCCGTTGTTCCCAGTTACAAGTCGCATTCCCTGCACTTGACCAGAAAGTTCCGGATCCTTCAACGCTCAGACTGATAAAGACGTCTGGCTATCTGAGGTCACTGCTTTGTGCCAGGATTCCTGCGATATCCACCATTTTTTCTTTCCTCTCTGTTTTCTCCTCCTGATGCACCACCAGTGAAAATTTTGTTGCGTCTTTTATTTTTCTTTATAAAAAAAAAGGCTCTTGCGGGATGCCAAACATTCATCTGAACTCGGCTGCTTTTCGAAAATGTACGCTTTGTTTACATCGAACGACGGCGCAGCTGCGGAATGGAAATCCACCACGCCGCGCTGCTGCAGATTCTCTGTGGTGCAAGAAGCCCAGCCTGCGACAACAGCACAACACTGACCCCTAATGGACGACCACTCCCCATTTCACAGCACAGACTTACAAAGGCACGCTGATTTTGAATACATTTCTGCTAAATCTGAATAAAGCAGAACTGATATTTAACTGAGAGCGTCGAAAACACTGCAGTGCGGGACAAATGGTCCCATCTGTTTGTCTGGACGCACTTTACATTAAGTCTCACTGTCAGCGCTTACAGAATAAACTGGGCTAAACACAGTGGTTTGTAATCTCCATCTGGACAGAATGAAGCTGTGACCGTGTGTGTAAATGCTCCTCGTGCGCAATGCAATTTCACACTCCGTCGTCCAATCTAATCTACGATGCCCCTTAGGGCTTAGAAGGGGAGGACCCACAGGCTGGCATGAGTCCGCCACATGACGCCTGTCAATCACCGGGCTCTACGGCTCTGGGGCAAATGCGCCACAAACACAAAGGATGATGGGATTGACCTGGCGGGCCCTGAGCATATTTGGCCGCCCTTGCGGAGAACGGTACCACCTCCAGCCTGCTGATCATTCGTGCTCCCACCAAGGCCTGGATTTGACAGCCTGACACAGTGACACGGGGGCTGATGCTGAGGAGCCTTCAGCGTTTCCTCACACACGCTGCTATTTCCAGGAGGAATAGCAGCAGAAAGCCCGAACGGGAGGCTGCCACATGCATGCCACGCCTGTAACACCTCCAGCATAGCTCAGAGCTCCTTACAGGCCCAAAGACTGATGGCTTGTTGCTAGGGAGAGGAAGGCTCCCAGGAACATTGTGCTCTCTTATTGCAGCAGTGTGCCATGGTCCAGGCAGATGGAGGCCCACTCTCAGACTGCTTTGTTTCCTGGCGGGAGGAAGCACAGGAGCGGCTTAGGGAAGAGGAAGGTGTTATTAAGACCAGGCCTCCTCCTCCTCCTCCTCCTCCTCCCCCCCCCCCCCCCCCCCCCCCCCCACCCAACCCAACCCAGTCCTCAGAGGGAAACACTGGAGATGATGAGGATTGATGTGGAATCCCATGGCAACAGCCACCCCCACCCCGATCGATAAAACAGACAGCCGCTGCTGCATCACCGTGGCCCGAGGGACACAGGAGGCGTGGGGACCGCCTCAGCATCCGAATTCAAGCGGTAAGTGAGGACATGCAGATGCTGGGAATGGAGAGGTGCCATTAACTAGGAAAACGTGAGCAATGTGGAATGGCAGCCGTCCTGCTGAGGAGGCGTCGCGCGGGCCGTTCCCATCTCCGCCCTCCCACCCGCCCCCACCGCACACCCACCAACGCCCCCCTCCTTTGTTCCGTGCTGCACAAAAAGCCTCAACAGATGGTTGTGTTATTTGCATCACAAGGTTCTTTCTGGAAGAGAGAAGTGTCTAGGAATGAATGTGCCACTGCCAGGTCAGTGCTCACTGACATCCCGCATACGTCAGGTGGCCTTGTTTTGGTGACTAAACGCTCTCATTCTGTAAATTGCGACAGACTGGAAGAAAGATAAAGATACAAGTTCATATAATGAAGATTAAATCTGAACAGGTCTTTTCTCCTCTAATATTTGGGTAGCATTTTACCTTCATTCTTCTATGTTTTACAGGATCATTGCATTTTTAAGAATAATGAAAATTCCCTGTATGCCCTTTTTCATGTGTTCTTGTCTTAACAGCAGAAATAGCGCTTGCTAATGATCTGAATGACACCCTTTCATGTCTCTGCAGTTTCTGATGTGTGTCCTGTCTAATAGCAGAGAGGTTATCAGTTATCCTCACCTGACCTACCTACAGAAAAGTCAGATTAGGGGCAATAAGGTAAAGAGATGTCAAGTAGGAAGAATAGGTTTAGAATAGGTTAAGAATAGGTTTAGAATAGGTTAAGTCTAAAATACTTGTTAAATTAACATGGACCACTATAAGCACTACAGTGCTCCAATATTTAAATTTTATATGTATATGAAAACGCAACAAATTTGTTTAAAAAACTCATAAGAATGGATGTGCCCCACAACATATATCATGTTTTACAAAGTTGTAACCCATAAAAACACACATACACACTAAATCACACCCCATACAATCCTTATACTGTGATGCATGTAAACAAGTGGAATTTGTTTACACATTTTTTTCTTGCGAGCAGGAACATCACATCAATAACTAAGAAGTTAGGCATTCAGTCTCACTATGCCTTTTAGTGTAATTATTACCATATGTAAATGTGAATGCAGTCACTGCAGATGAGGTGAGCCAGCGCAGCCTATTGGTTCCTGTGTATTTCCATGTGTCCTCAGATACAGTCCCCTGCCATCCGGCTCTTTAGCTTACGACTGTACTGACCCCTTGTGGGTACTAACGGAACTACCCCTGCCATTCTTGGTACAGAATTATGTTTTCCTACAGTAGATCACTCTTGGGTCTTTCCATTGTGGCCCACCACAGGACTCTGACAGTTTGCCTTCATATGTCATGGCCGGCATCCAAGTATGGGTACGACTTCATGTAATAGCTATAGCGGACTCAGAAATCGAAAACATTTTGCGGTACCTATAGCTACCGAACAAAACACAGCAAAGAAAGCTAGACAGTGGGAATGCATGACTAATTTGTGATCATACTTTTTTTTTTTTAATATATAAAAACAATCCCATTTAAAGAAAATGCCAATGGACTGGAATTATAAACAATGCGATAAAAAGATTTACTGTTATTAGATAAAAGGAGTAGTTAATATATTTTATGGACGTTATACATAAAATATGTAAAAATACAATTCTATTTTTAAAAATGTCCATGTCCACTGAGAAATGAAAAGGATAATAAAATATTTTCCTGTGGTGGGAACATTTGCCTCAAGAGTCTGCAGAAACATTCCTCCACACAACTCCAACGTCGAATACAGAATCGTATAATATTGCAGGCCCGAGGAGGGGCACTGATATTCAGCACACGTCTCGTTGACTGGTGTATATTATGAAAGATTACCATAAACAATTCCTGAGATTTTCTCCAAATGTAGCGGACTGTTTATTTCATGTGGCTGTAATATATGTATTGTTTGTGGCTGCAATGCCTTGAAATGTTGAAATGTAATTTTATGGGATAAAGTACAAAAGCTACTGCCAGAGAAGCCGGGCCTGTAATAGTAAACACCAGCCTTACTATTGAACAACCTACATTGCTGGGAAGTGCAACGCAAATCATGCTGAAAAATGAACTGAGCAGTGTAACGTGATTCAAACTCAAACAAGAACATGTAGGTTTGGTCTTTGAGGCATCTCTGGTTTAACAAATAAAATTAAATTCTACAACAGAGGATGGAAAAAACAACAGATGGAGACCGAACAAGAGGTCAGGCAGTGCCTCTGCAGATAAGGATCTGCTACTCTTTGGGTTTCCCTTACATGTTTCTGAAGGTCTCCAAGAAGGCATGTGAGTTTGGAACAATTGAGGGTAAGTAAGGGACGGATGGCGACAGGCTACGACCACAGGGCCGTCCAGACTTCTGTGGGAAGTGAAGTCACTTGCTGCCAATGTCTAAACTCATTTATTTTTTTCATTTCTTTCCCCAAACATAAAAAAAACCTCTATCACTGTTAAAAAAATGTGAAACCAAAAATGCCTTATGTAGCCAAGAAGGAGCAGCATACGGCGGCACCGGAGGAGGCCTAGCACACCGCAGAAACTGGGACAGAGCCAAACCGGGGCCGAAAAAGGACATGACAGGCCGCAAACTCTAATCTGGGCAGTCGCGGCTGAGTGGCGGCTATGCAGCATGGATTCTGGGAGACGGCGGCTAAGGGCGAGCGCTTCGTGGGACGTGACGGAGACGGCGGCTAAGGGCGAGCGCTTCGTGGGACGTGACGGAGACGGAGGCTAAGGGTGAGCGCTTCGTGGGACGTGACGGAGACGGCGGCTAAGGGCGAGCGCTTTGTGGGACATTACTGAGACGGCGGAGACGTCACAATGCCAATAAATCGGCAGACTGACCGAACGCGCAATCCAGGCGTGTTAAAGAGCTACGACTAATGTTCTCACGTCACGGCACCTGTATATCATTTTATTAAATCTGACAAATTACCTTTCATACTTTCATATTTCATATTGTGTGCAGAGGTTGGGGGGGGGGACAATTACAGTTTCAAACTGTAGTTGGGGAAATAAAATCCTACAGCACTTTTAACAAACAAAATGTTTATTAGCAACTAAAAACAGGATGCACCCAACATTCATTTATACTTATATATATATTTTTTTTCTTTTTTGTAGTTGTTTCAATCACTGCAATATGATGAACAAATCACAGACATTTATTTTGGGGATAATACAGAACATTTTTAATTTATTAAAATTGTCCTTTCAAAAAAGAAACTGGAACTCAGTACTGTTCTTACTTTACTTGCGGTACTTATGTTATGCTTAAAAAGACAGAGAGCATAAAACACCACGGAGGCATTTCAGATTCCGACAGCAGCGTTTAAAAGGAGTCAGACAATACGGGCGATACAGCGACTGCTATGTTCAAGTATTCCGCAAATCGGCAGTCAATCCATCAGAAACAGCCGGGATTCCTTAAACTCTTCCATAGGAAGGTCACAGCCTTTTTTTTCATCCGTGTGCAGTTAAAAACGTTTTGGCAAGCACTTCATGGAAAAAAAATCACCTAATTGAAACCGTGGGGTGGCTTTCGTTAAAACTAAAAAATAAAAATAGAAATTACCTACCACTGGATCCTCTAGCAAGCCATCTATAGAAGTAAGTTGTACACCGTTATGAGAAAGATGAACACATTTGTTAGGTATCTGTGTCAGACGGCAAGTGGGATATTAACAAGTCCAGTCAGCCACTTAAATGAGTACAGAGATGACAACTTTACAAAATGGTCTTTACCTACTGAGTGATGATTATGTCCCCTCAGTCTCTGTGCTCTCTACCACTGGCTGTTTCTCAGCTTGCTGCTTCGGCTCGCTCTGTTCACTGTCTACATCCATGTGGGCGGCCTGCTGCTCGGGGGGGTCTGGCTCGTTGGGGGCTTTCTCAGGGACGGCCTGCGACGGCGCCGCTGCGAGCTCCGGTGGGGGCGCCGCCTCAGTCTTCCCGCCGTTCACCCACAGCTGTTTGCCAGTCTCCGGCACGGATGGCGTGGCAGAAAGGGACGCCGCGGGAGCCCAGGTCTCACCATCGCGCTCCCGGGGCCGGTCGCGGTCCCGCTCGCGATCCCGATCCCTGTCACGGTTTCTGTCACGCCCACGGTCGCGGTCATGCTCCCTCTCTCTGTCTCGCTCGCGGCTCAGCCGACCCCCATTGACATCTCTGCGGAAATCAAAGTCCCGGTCGTCACGGTCCCTCTGCCGCTCCCAGGGCCTGCGGCGATCATCAAAGTCCTGGTGCACATCAGGCTCGAACGCCGCTCCGCCGCGACTCCAGCCAGGCCCCCCTCCTCGGCTCTCGAAGCGGTTGGTGAAGGTGGCTCCCCCGTTTGGCCGCTCCTCCTGAAAACCTCGGGGGCCCCCAGCTGGTGGTCCTCGCAGGTCTCGTTCATCAAAGTCCCCCCTGGGAGGACCCCAGCGGCTGTCGGGTCTGAAGGCGCCTAGGGGCTCCCTCCTGCCCATTCCAGCCTCTCTGCCTTCCCCCGGAGGCCGGCGCAATGTGTCCCGGGACTCTAGCAATGGTGGTCTTCCAGTTCCCTCCCTGGGCTCCGCTGGGGTTCGGGGTGGGCCAGCAGGCTGCTTTTCTGGAGGAGGAAAGCGGTAGTCCTGGTCTCCCTCCTGCTGGGCACGGTCTGCACCACGAGGGGCCTCATCTTCAGGCTTTGGCAGGCTGTCGCCGGGCTGATTCGACGGCCTCCCAAAGGAGCCCTCGGCCCGACTGAAGGGGTCGACGTGGGGGAAGGGGGCACGGGATGGGGGCTGCTGCTGTGGGCTGGGTTCCATTGTTGGGCCGGACCCCACACCACTGGCTTGAGGCATCACTCCTGGTTGCATGAGGAGGGGGAACCTGCTTCCGGTACCAGCCCCGGCTCCCTGGAGTAACCCAGGACGGAGGTCGAGGGGCAGCAGTCCAGGCATCCTCTGGCCAGCCAGGCCCGCCTGGTGCAGGGGGTGGCTCAGGGAGGCCGAGGGGTGCATGCCCAGGAGACCCATGCCGCTCCGCACCGTCTGCATCCCTGTGCAAGAAAACAGAAACGGAGTTGTCCTCGATTCCTAAAGCAGTTGTGAGAACTATCCTGAATTTGGCTTTGGGCGTCCCAGTGAGCTGTCACTCACTCACTGCCCCCCACCACCCCTGCCGAGGCCCCATGCGCCCCGCATTCGAATTCCCGCGACACCTACCCTGCAGCGCTATGTCCACGGCGGCATCCCTCCCGTCCGCCGCCTGCGTGGGCTTCTCGCTTGCCGACGGCTGAGGGGGCACTGCCACGGGGTTGAAGACCCCAGAGCCCGGAACGGCTGGGGGGATGAAGCTGCCTGGGATGCTGCTGACGGGGGGAATCATGGCCCCGAAGGGCGAGTCCTTCGTGTTCTCCTGTGTGGCTGACATGGAGGGCTGGACCAGAGCTGAAATGTGGATGACGGGGAGAGATGTCAGATGGCCATCTCGCAGTCAGAAAACGACAGTCTGGTTGAGGCGATTAAGCAGTTATTTTGAGAGGCATCTGGCTGCAGGAGGGGCCTTGAGAGCACGTGGAGGGGCCTTATGAGGGCGTGGAGGGGCCTTATGAGGGTGTGGAGGGGCCTTATGAGGGTGTGGGCGGGTGCGAGAGCACGTGCGCCACTCTCAAGCCCCAATATGTCATTACTGAAGACGTAACGACGTTACGATAGCATCTGTTGTTTACATTTCTCTACTGTGCCAGTCATTCTTTAAAAGTGTGTGAGGTGTGGCTTGATTTATAAATTATTACATCAGTGCAAGGACAACATGTCTTTACCTTAAATACATGCGAGTAGTTGTAGGTCACGTAAAAATATCTCATATTAGCGGTCTGACACACACTCTCAAGCACCTCCAGCAGACACGTGCTCGTGGTGCCTCGTTGGGGCCACATAAGAAACACGGCACAGCTGAGAGGAACGCGTGCTGCTTCGAGAAACTCACACGTGGGGACAGATGGGATCCCGGGTCCCACCGTCGTCTGGGGAACCACAGGCGGTGGCATGAAACCTGCGTAGCAGAAAGGCACCCGGGAATGAATGAGCACTGAGTCAAAAAAGCGGACAGAGAAGCAGCTACTGGGTCACACGGTTTTCCCGTCATCCTCACCGGGTGGGGGCTGCGAGGTGTTGAACCCTGCTCTCAGGAAGGGGGGCGGTGGGCCAAAGCCTGGGGGGGGCATCGCCATTGAGACTGGGAAGGACGGGGGCACCAGACCCACTGTGGGGACACCCTGGGCTACTGGAATCTGAAAATGGGATTTGCACAGTTTAATACTGAATATACAACAAGCAGTGAGACTAAGAGATTAATATGACATCACAGTGCAAATCAGTACCGCCTACAGTAACCAGAACATGGGTGGAAGGAACCACAACCTCCTGTTTAAATGGAGACGCCAAACCGCTGGAAGGGCCACAGATTTCAATTTCAAATATTGACTTGCATTTCAAAGGAGCTTCTGACCTGAAAAGATTATCTTTGTGTTTCCTGCATTTCCTGTAAGTTTCACTTCATTTCCAACAATACCCAAACCAGAGCAGACGGGGAGGGGATTACCTGCACAGGCATCATGGTGACAGGCTGCGAGAAGGCCTCCGTCTGCTGGCTGCCAGAGCTGCCGGGGTCGGCGCTCACCGCGGCTTGGCTGGTGGACTCCTTGACCGGCTCTGCATTGCGGGCCGCCTCCCACTCTGAAACCGGCCGACAGCCCAAGTCTGTTACCACACACGTATACAGACCACTTTCACACACACGCATGCTGATATACCACATGTACCCACGTTCACACTCTGACAAGGGTACAGACACCATGCCACTGAGACACCAGGATGTCACCATGCCCACAGGGGGTCCCAGCGAGCCCCCCTGCAGTAATGACATTGGGGCGGTCCTCAGTCGAGCCTCACCGCTGTTGACGGTCTCCTGGTCGATGATGCCGCCCTCGGCGAAGCCGTCCAGGTCGTCGAGCTTCACTTTCTCCCAGGGGATGTAGGTCACGCCCAGGTCCACATCCCAGAACTGCTTGTACTCCTGCTTCACCCCTTTGTTCAGAGCCCAGGCGATCTGCAGGTGTGGGGAGATGTTCAGCAGAAGAACCTTCCTTACGATCTCAGATTCTGGACTTAAACCAAATTCTCGACATGGAAACGTTTTTCATTTGTAATACTGTGAAGCAAGTTTGCTGCATTACGAAGCTTAATCTACTAACACGAAACTATAAAGGGAAATATCACAAACGAAAATGGAATGAGTCACAATTAAACAGCTGCAGGGATGCGGGAGGTTTGTTAAGGAAGATCGCAGTCTCATTAAAATATCTCAGACAGCGCTCCGTTCACATCTACTCCCACCACCCACAACCTTGATGACTTTAGAGCCGATCTTGTAGGAGCCGGTGCTGAGCTTCTGTCGCGCACGGAAGGCATCCTGCCTGTGGACCATGCAGATGTAGGCACAGCCTCTAGGGGGTATCATCTGAAAGAAGCCAGGAAGCACAATGGGGGAGGGTCCATTTTAGTTGCTCGATTACTTAAAATACAAAACACCTAGTCTTAATGTCTGGCAGTACACTGACATTGATAGACTCAATCTGGCCGAATTCTTCAAACAGGTTGGTGAGGTCTTGCTGAGTAGCCTTCTTATCAACTTGCCCCACCCACAGCGTCGTACTGCATACTGTTTGGGGTAGAGAAAAGAATTATTAAAAAATATAAACACAGCAGTCACACGAAATCAATCAATAAGACTCTAAATAAAACGACAGTCTGGTATTATGCCGTGAAATAAAATACGTAATTTAAGATTTACTTTGGAGGTCCCCGGATGTTAAATCAGGATTACATTTTTTTTTTAAATGTCCCACAATGCCGAGCAGTGAACCGTGGGTGGTGAAGGCCCTCACCGCTGAGCGTCTTGGAGCGTATGGGCGGCAGCCCCTTCTTCTGCCGCTCCTTCTCGCGCTCCCTGGCCCTTCGCTCGCTGGAGTATGAGCGGGACGACTTCCTCTTCCTCTCCCGGGAGCGTGAGCGTGACCGCTTGCGGTGCTTGCGTTTCCGCGAGCCCGAACGTGACCTCGACCTACGCTTTCGCGGTGACCTGCGGGCGTGAGAAACAGGGAATATAGAGGCTGACCATGGGGAGAGCGAGTGCTGCTTATCGTTAAAATGGAATTACCATCACGGCTAACGATACAGACCAGTATAAAGGGCCAAAAAAACATAATTAAACCACTTACAATTTCAGCATAACAGGCCTGTCTGCAAAATGTATGAATGATTAAAGGCTATTTGGCAGTTTCGCAGGCCTCTGCAGGGCTTAACGCTTGACAGTAAAAGCCATCGCAAAATACCCACACAGGCACGGCAATTTTTAGTTATTTAATCACTAATGAGATGATTCAAGCGTGGGGGGGGTAACTATGCGGGTCAAAGCAAACCGCACCTGGAGCGGGATCTCGACCGCGTCCTGGACCTTGTGCTCACGGCCTTCTCCTCAGATTCAAAGATCTCCCCGTCCACCGTGTCCTGCCCTTCGTCCAGGTCCATGTCCTGTAAGTGGCGAGACACGAATCGAGTCGCCGAGTGAAAACCTGCATCTGACGCACAGATCGCTGGCATTGCGGCCCGCGAGCTGGAAAGTCACTCGCCTGCTGCTGGTTGTCGATGGAGTCGTCCAGTTTAGCGTCGGCCTCCTGCAGTTGCTGCTGGCTGCTGTTCTGGGAGGGCGTGGCCGAGCTCTCAGTGCCAAATATGGCCTCCTGTCCTTCCATGGACAAGGTCTACGGAAACGGCACGACCGTGAGACCATGTCAAAAAGCAGTGAGGGCACCGATTCAAAATGACTTAAGCTTTATCACAGTAATTATGCACGCACAAATATGACCGCTGAGGTATTCATGAGAGAAAGAAAACATGCAAGCATTATAATTTCATGTTTTCATTGTGGTTCAGCAGGAAATTTACCCAGGGACTGAAGGCAGTAAAACTCTTCCCCACATACAATAAAACACACAATAACTGAAAACAATGCATTTGTGGGAAGGGATTTCCCCTCTTTTCATTTTGTACTGTGACTGAACCAATAATTAATTTTGGGGGTGTGAAGCTGGGTCATGGCGGTACCTTCTGCTGCTGGTGCTGCTGGTCCAGCAACTGCTTCTGGAACTGCTCCAAGTTTTGCTGCTGCAGCTGTTCGGCCAGCTGGTGGAAGAGGGAGCTGTTGATGGACTCTGGGACCATCGGCCTGGAGGGCGCAGACAGAGAGAGCACTCATAAGCTGAAGGTTGAAGGATCACGCCCCAGCAGAAGGACGTGCTTGAGTAAGGCAATTAACCTAAGACACTCCTTATAATACAAGCGGAAAAGTACCGGGTGAAAAACACACTACAAGTTACTAAAATCACATTTCAGCACATCCAATTTGCCTCTCCCAAAACACTTGTATAGACAGAAAGCAGAGTAACCATGCAAAGGAAGTGACAGGGCACAGGCTGGGGTGACCAGAACGAGAACGGAGGCAGCGCTGTGGCATGATGGGAATGAACCGCCAGCACGATACTTACAGCTGAGACGATGTGTCCTTCTTGGACTCTTCGGGACGCTCAGAATCGTTTCCAAAGTCAAACTGACCAAGGAGTTTCTACAACCAGAGAGAAATGTTCAGGTCAAAAAAAGGGACATTTTGCAGATGCCAGCCAGTCTTGCACTCTTTAAAAACCCACGTGGATTGGTGCTTACGCACATCATAAGCCACCCACACTTAATAATGTATCTTTTAAAAATAAAACGTCTTGGGACTATACCTCTCCAGGCTTCCAAACAAGCCACCAAGCACCTACTTCCTGTTATAATTTGGGTCTGCAGGTTATACTGACCTTGTTGAAGGACGACACCCTCTGCTCCAGCGGGTTGAAGGTGTTGGCTGCGGCGGCCGCTGTGAGCTGCGCCGTGAGGGCCTGCAGCTGCACCACTAGGCCTGCATCCAGGGCCTGCAGGAGCGAGGGCTGGGGCTTCTGCTGCTGCAGTTGCAGGCTTTGCACCAGCTGCTGCAGCTGCAGGTGAGCAGTAAGAGACACAGGAACCGCCAATGAGAAACATGTCTGATGTCAACAGAGACATGCAGCACAGATGTTTAAATCATACAGCTGAAGACTGGACGACTGCAAATAACCTGGTTCGGTTCTATATCCCCTGTCTGTCTTTTTTACGACTTTACAACTGAATAATTCAGCACCAGATTAATCTGATGCAGTGCATGCGGGAGTCAGGTAGCTAATATAATCCTAACAAACCACAAAAAGGAAAGAAGCTGGACTTTGTGTTTTGCCCTAAGTTTTTGATAAAGGAATAACATTATCCTGAAATATTCTATATGAAAGCCTATAAATCAAAACTAACGTGTGCTTGTGGGAGGTCGTTACTGGAAAGGGGGGGGCTGCACACACCTGCTGCCCCTGCGGAGACTGCAGGATCTGGGCCACTGCAGCCACGGTGTCCGTGTTTGAGATCTGCGACGCCCAGTCAGGCAAGCTCTGCACAATGTTGGCGGGGGTGGCGGGAGTGGCTGGGGTCCCTGCACACCGTGTATCAGGGAAAGGGAGAGAAAATAGCCTTGGTCCAAAATCAAACACAGCACCACTGAAATAAATGCGACTATAATTTGCAATCAGGTCTGCATGGTACTGGAAAAAATTAAAATATTGTGATGTGAATTTGTTGCGATAAATATGCAATGTCTATAAAACAAATGAGTTGAAAATTTACCCAAAAAATAAACTATAACCAAACACGTCTTTTATTGTCCATCAATGGAGTGTGTTAAGTGAGTTGGTGGTGTTACCACGAGGTGTGCCGACAATTCGATTTTGCCGAAAATCTCTCCAGTAAAAATCCAAAATATTTTAATACAGTGGGAAATGAATTTCTTCTGACCAACTCTTGTTCCCTTTTCTCCTCCACATTTTGGTTCATTTTTCACAAACACGCCACGCTGTCTCTGAGTCAGTCTGACAGCAGAGACGAAAATGATCACAATGAAACAGCTCTCGAAAATACCATCTAAATACCATCCACCTCAGCATAACATAAGGACGCTATGGAAAATGAGACACCACCCAAACCTAATCTCAAACTGACAATCGTGATCCCAATGATGTGAAAATGGCAGGAGCGTAACACACACACTGTGCAGACCTACATGGATTTAAAGGAAATGGGGAGATTGCACCACAAGAGGTCAGTATAACAAAAGACGACAATTTATGTTGTTATCAACTTGTTACAAACTATTCTTTAAAAACGTATGACGGGAGGATTATATATACTGCTTAAAAAAAAAAACCAGAGGCTGAGCTAACATATCACTTATTGCACCCACTTTTGAAAGTGTGTCCCCCTTCATGTGAATGTGCGTGCAGGTCTGGGCTCAGCATACTGACCTGGGGTAGTGTTGTTGACGGTGGCTGCACTGCTGGCCGTGACGGGCGTCACGCTGAGCGGGGGCAGCCCCACCGCCATGTCCAGCAGGGGCTGGATGATGTCGCTCTTGAAGACGTTGTTCTTCTGCCAGAGGTTCAGCACTCTCACGATCTTACTCTGAGACACACACATAAATATTTACCATTCAAAGCAGCTCTCTGGTGTAGCTTTATCTTTAAAGGTCTTGGGCTGGGACCCACCTTGTCATCAGACGGGCATCGATACAAGTTCTGGAAGGTTCCTATGATGTTCTTGCTGAAGCGTGGTGCAAACACGTCTTTCTCTTGACCGAACTGGTGCCGTGACTGCCTCACTATGGAGTCGATAACGTACAAGCCGGGGACCTTGTACTCCGGTTTGCACTACCACAGGGGACAGGGGCATTGGATTAGTCTCTAAATGCAACTCAACACGCACAAACCTGGTAAAAACACAGGACAACCAGCACAGACTGATCCTGCAAGAGCAGCCATAAGGAATCATATAACTGGGAACTGAAGCAGTGGTTACATATGTAACAAATGCTGTTATGGTAAGTATTCTGGACCCACATAAAAAAAATCTACATTAAAAAAACATGCAAAATGACCTTGTGGCCTTTAAAACTAATCACTGCTCTGCTTTTTCACATGGATCTTTTTATCACAACAAACATGAGGTAAAGCTGCACAACACTTACAGAATATTATAACCACCAGGCACCAGGTAACAGCTGCAGTTGTTGGTACTTAAATGCCTTCAGTTAAATATTACTATTTAATTTGATTAAAGAGAAACGAGCTAATGTGAGGTATGCAGCATGTGAACTTCAGCATCAAGGGACTTACTTTCTGAATGAACTTCTCCACACTCTGCACAACATGCTTATAAAACTGCAAAACAGAAAGAAAAAACATGATTCTGTAAGACACAGCATGTCGCAGTCAGGCAAGCAGTGCAAGCAGATGAGCTGGGCATCACTTTCCACGATGGCAGCGAGTGGCGGCAGCAATGGCCGCGTTTAGACGCACGAGCAGGATTATTGCTATTTCATACTGGGCTGAAAGTAGAAAAAGTCCTAATGGAATCTGCCCACAGTAATTATACGCATGTCTTTCAAAGGGAATTAAACCACTATAGAAACAATTATCCAGAGGAGTAACCATGTGTGGAGTGGGGAATCAGGCTAATATCTAGAAAGTAGCATGAAGTCCATTATCCTGTAGAGACGACCGTGCAAAGAGCACCACAGTCAGATAGTCCTTCTTATAAACCTAGAGGATATTTACACAGTACTTTTACTTACAAGAACCATAATCCAAAATTTTGACTCCTGCAGAAAAACCGTTCCTGTTATCAGAAATAGCGTCTATGACTCCTGGCTGGTTCACAATCTGCCTGTTCTCCCTTAAACATACACCCTACACTTTAGAAAAGCATAACAAACAGCTGTGATAGACCCCGGTCATACAACAGTGTGGTATAGAACCAGTGAACGGCTGACATTTTTCATATTAATTTTGCTGACGCATAAACTTCACCTTTAAATTGTTCCCCACCAGAGCCCAATAAATGAATAAACATTAAGTTGTCTACCATGTGTTTTGTGTCTGAACTTTCAAGCTAGAATTATTATTTGTTTTTAATGTAGGATTCTGAACAACGAAGACCAATAGAAAATCTGGGTGCACTGGGACTTATAAATTATGAAAAGAGGTGAGGAAAAAGCCTTGGATGCCAGTTTTAATATATTCAATATAAAATACATGAAACAACACAACACACATGGGGCCTGTATACTTAACTGCAGTGAAAACATCTGCTTTAACATTCCTGTTCCCAAACCCAATTAGCTTAACAAGTTGTTCCTATTTATATTTTTCAATCAACATAGTCCTCCCAACATGCCTTGTGATGAGAAAGCACATGAAACAAAGAGAATGGACAATATGTGTTTATGAAAGATTGCAGGTTCGAATCCCCCACCAGCAAGTCACCACTGAGGTACCCTGAGCAAGGTACCATCCCCAAGCACTGCTCCCCGGGCGCTGAATTAGCTGCCCCCTGCTATGTCATGAAAGTCACATATGGGTCAAATGCAGAGGTCACATTTCGTTGTTGCGCACTGTGTGCTGTGGTGTGTTGACAATGACCACTGATCACTGATCACTAATAAAAGCTCCACTGTAAAAGTACATCACTGTGTGTGAACCTAACAAAAAGCTCCACTGTCAAAGTACATCACTGCGTGTGAACCTAACAAAAAGCTCCACTGTAAAAGTACATCACTGCGTGTGAACCTAACAAAAAGCTCCACTGTAAAAGTACATCACAGTGCGTGAACCTAACAAAAAGCTCCACTGTAAAAGTACATCACTGCGCGTGAACCTAACATGTTCTATACGGGGTCACCCAAAACATGCTCCCTATGAAAGCATTTGCTCTAGCAAATGTGGTTCAAACTTAAAGAATTATTAGTGCAATTTTATGTGAAAATGAAGGGGGGAAAAACTGTAAATTGTCATGCTGTCATAAATTTTTTTTAATACAGTGTGTTGCCTTATAACACAAAGCTACTGATAATCATTTTAGGTCTGCTCAGATCTGCTCCATTTCCATCCATTTGCCCTCAGGGATTAATAAAATGTATTTCACCTTTCTCCATTCCCTACCTAATTAAAATTACCAAGCCGGTTTGTTTATCGCTTTTCTGTTACAAATCAGAAGCGAGGTATTATAGTACGCCTGACCCTGTTATGTGTCAAGCGATGACATCATCGCAGTATCAGGTGCACCATTATAACTTCCCCCCATTAGGTAAGAGTTTCTGACCACCAAAATGCTAAGCCTAGTCTGGTCACCATTTGTCAGTAACAGCTTAGGACTTGCATCTTTGCAATTTGCATTAGGTCCTTCAAATGAACATTTGTTTATTATTATTTTTTTAATTAAGTGAATCAGGGAAGGTAACAGCGTAGACTGTCTTGGCATCCTCTATAAAGAGGACTGACTTCAGGCTTATCTTTGACTACTGAAGGCTGCCTGGGACACAAACGATGCATTGACAAATACTTGTGTGTTTGTGCTTATTCCACCCAGCTGGGCTTGTCCTCCTTCATTTCCCATTTCTGTGGGGTAGTGTTCCCCAATCCAGCCCTCCGGAACCTGCAGACGGTCCACATTTTTGCTCCCTAGCAGGAGCTGGGAGGGAGCGAAAACGTGGACCATCTGTGGATCCCTGAGGACCGGGTTGGGTAACACTGCTGTGGGTAACCACACTTTATTTTTCGTTAATCAGGTAACATTAGGAAGAGGAGCAGTGTTGCTCCTCACAACGCCTGCTGTCTTTAGTAAGACAAGAAAATGCCATTCATATTTTTTGAGCTGGCACAAGCCGCAATGGAGACACAGTAAACAGATTTCCATTAAATCATTATGTAAGATGGTAATTCAGAAAAAGATACTTTTAGCAAAATACCAAATAAACCAAACCCAAGGAATGAATGACTAAATAATCAACTAAATAATCGGCTAAGACAGAAAGACTCAGAAGGAGTTTCTATCCCCAGGCCATTCGACTCCTCAGTCAGGACACACCCCTCTCTCTCTACACGGTGTTATAGTATTATTATAGTACTTTTATACTATACTGGACAGCAACCATCTCAGAGTCTCATACTCATTGTCATCATTGTCAATGCACTTTAACCTTATAACTTATTATGGCATATCGCACATCTGTAAATCTGTTTCAAATCCATATTATATTCAAAGTTCTATTTTAAAATTTTATTTATTTCTCCTTTCTATTTCCTTTCATATCCTTTGTATCAGTTGCACAGTCAAAAGAGTGGTTCAGGATACATTTCACGGCATGTTGTATCTGTATGACTGTGCATGTGACAAAGAATCTTGAATCTAGTGCGACACCCGTATTCGGCCATTTTAAAATTCCAAAATAAGACTTGAAACTCAGACTCGTTCACTATCACTTCCAAGAAATTAACCATTGTTCTCAGAGACATATCCTAAGTCAATAATGCAGCTCGCTTCAGAACCACCTGTCTCATCACAACAGCATTAAGGTTAGACACTAAAGTGGGAAGTTTCCCCTGCCTCAGTGTTATTCAGATGGCTAAGAGATGCACCCAGCTTTCATGTGATGTCCTGACAAGCATGGATGCGAATGTTGAAGCTGCACCATACAGAAAAATCACTAGTTCCAGTGGGAATGACTCCGGTGAACCTGCTGACAGCGAAATGGCCCACAACACTCAAAGCAGGGTGTCATGGGAAGCATGATGTTCCCAGAGTTCATATTGAAACTGCTGAGCTGTCATTGTGCTCTGCGACATTTTTCAAAAGGAATATCATAATGAATAATAATAGTCGTCTAAAATATGCATGTAAACAATAAAGCCCTTTCAAAGAAATTAAACCAGCAACAATTTGGTTGCATGTGACCAAAAATGTGTCGAGTGTGACATTTTTTTCCTTGGTCACACTGGTGCAGCTACCATTTCACAGGTGTATGTTTTTTTCCATGGTCAGAGCCAATCAAAGGCAGAGAAGCAGTGGGTCTTCGCCACTTTATACCAGTGTTTTTGAAACTATATGTTTACAAATGCTTTAAAAGGGTATGTTTCTATTCATTATAAAATCATTTACATTAAGCTTGATAGTATAATCAACATGCTTTATTAGATTATTAATGTACATTTAACTTGCAATGTTGTATGTATATTTAGTTTGGTAGCAACACGTTTGCTTAACCTGAAATATAATTATTAGTACCTTGATAAAGCAATATTAGGGATTTTGCTTTACCATTATATGCATTTAACTGCAGACCTAGGCCGAATTATATTACACGTAATCCATACACGCTTTTTTTAAACATTCGTGATCGTTGTCTATTTTGTCCATCTGATGCTATTTGGCTAAATATACATCAATACATTAATAATGTAATGAAACACGTTGATTATACTATCAGGCTAAATGTAACTGATTATTTAATAGTAATATAAAACACCTTTAACACATAAATGCAGTTTCAGAAAGACTGCTATAAGAAACACATCCTGAGTCGTGACAAGGGTGACCACCAGAGCCCCCCCCCACCCACCGCAGCATCTGAGCGTCAGGCAGTGGCAAACCAAAGCTTTTTCTATAGGCATCTGGGAGCAGCACGCACTTTTGAACATTTGAGTTTTTGAAATTTTCAGTTTGTTAAGCACTTTAAATACTGACATTTAAGTTTTGCTTTAAAATAAAGTTTTTCCAATTTTTTGGTTTGTGCTGTGATTCAAATACAGACAAACATTTACCTGCACTTTTATCCCTGTCTACAATCATTTACATAACTATTAAATGTGTATGGGAAATGACAAAAAGGTAACCCTTAAAATGTATTATTGAGGCACTGCTGAACTCCTGCGGGCGTTTGACAATGAAAAATTGTATTGATACACAAGAAATAAATACATAGCCTTTAAGTATCCCCAAGTAATATATTTGAATTATACCAATTTATACCAGCTAATTGGGCTGGTGCACTTTACAGTCGTATGGCAGTTAACACGCACACACACACACACGCACACACATAATGCTTTTTGAATTATCTTAACCAAGATAAAACAAAAAAGTAAATGGTGGTAAATATCATACATCACTTTACAGATACAGGCATAGTTACCAGGCTATTAAGGAATCAACGAATGCAATGACATAACAATACGGCTGATATGTTTTAAAGGGAGCATCACTGCACCGATATTACGTAACCTTTCACAAACTGTAGGAGGCAGCAGAGCCTCATGTTTCATACGCTGCTGCATCATCACGGTGCTTTACAGTACAAGTGGCCAATGGGAGCAAAGGGCTGACAACATGAACAGACTGCGAGTTGAACACGCATACACTTGCGAACTGAAACAATATGCTAGAGCATATATCTGTATTTAGGAGCATCAGAAGGGCCCCACTGGGGTCTGTCCAATCGTCCACCTCTGCTAATGCCAGCATTCAGCCAAAACACTGGATAATGCTGAAGCATCATCACTTCCATTTCAGGAAGAGATTCCAGCTGGAAAACAACCCACATAAGATGATTTACCGATGCTGAATTACTAAAGTGATAAAAGCAAATTAACCTGATCCACTCCCTGCTTTTAATATTACAAACTATCATCTGTGTTTAACACGCATATGGTAAATTAACAGAACTTCGCATTTAAATCTCATGCTGGTTGGGTTGCAATTAATAATGCATAACATAAAATACTGAATGTGCCCTTCCATGACAGGTTTAGTCCATACAATAACACGCTACTAATGAAAATTAGTGATGGTTAAAAAAGAACATTAAAAACGGAAATAAGCTTTAAAAAAATCTTGCTGCTGGGGCACTGCTGACTAATAACTAAGATATAAATTACAAATTCCTATCTGTGCTTCCTGTTTTAGTTTGAGCCAACAAGATATCAAACGATGGGACATTATTAGCTGTTAATACTCAAAATCCTACCTATATGTATTTAACAAAATGCCAGGTACACAGCTACATTACCCTACTGCCACCTCCAGAAAAACAAAATCTAAATCAGGACACCTCCCACGTCCACCTGGTAAACTTTATTGTGTGGGACCCCCAACCCCCGCTTGGAAAATTATTTCGTGGGCAGGGGACCTTTGATTGTGTCGTTGATGGAATTTGGGCCCAGGGTAAAAATTGTTGAGGACCCCTGTGCTAGAAGTTGTGGTACTGCTGATGAAGGTCGGAAATGAGCTTCAGAAACTGCTTTTAGAACCAGCGCGTGAATTTCCATCTAAAGAGGAAACTGAAAATGCACTTTTCAGTGACTGGTCAAACATCAAAATGTGACAACAAATCTTCACATGAAGTTACACAGCATGTACAGAAAAGGGACTCAGAGGTAAACCCTACCAGATATCGGACTGTAAACAGCAAACACTGTGCTCAAAAACATCAGCTCAATAACATTAGCCGGTTCGGTAGTTAGTGCCTAAGTGTAATTTGCAATTTAAATACCGCAGAAGCTTGCAATAATATTGCAGCTAAATAACTCCCTGAAGTTCACTGGAAATTGCTGGAAGCATAGGCCCTGAAAACCACCGCCAGAGTATACAGAAAAAGAACGTTCCACATCAACTAATACTTTATTCAAATGTGATGGTAAATACACATCTCGATCCATGTTCGCGTTGAACTTCACGAGTCATTTTAATCTGCAGTGGATAACTATTTTCTATGGAATTGCCACCAGGTGAATAAGCAAAAGCTACAGTTTAAAAGAAACATGGCACTAAATATCTTTATGAACAGCTCTATATATACTGGTAATCGCTTTGCATGCAGAGGCTGGGTGAGTAAAATGTAGGGACGATGCAAAATCACTGGTCACAGCCTCAGATGGAAAACTAAGCATATAATGTTTTGTCTTGCCTCACTCCAAGTCTAAGGCAGCACATATATGTAGTAAACGCTTCTCCTGCCACACCATTCTACTGCAGCGATTTTAATGCCATAACAGCAGCACCCAAAGTGACGCTTAAACCAGCTGTTCCCAGAATAAGGTTTTTACTGTATCCTTGGAAACCATTAAATGCTATTGAGTGGTTTGATTCACCTTAAGTTCTTCCTCAAGAAACCATTTATAATACATGGGACAGGGAATCCATATTAAAATGCTGGGGATTTAAATTATTAAACTCAGACCTACCTTATATTATCATTAGAGTGCAAATAGCTTAGTACAGTCAGTATCAGAACTGCAATGAGGCCTTTGAACAGAGTTTAGATTGATCACCTTCACAAAATGGTCAATAGTGCTTAAAATTATAAACAATGCACATAAGTGTTAGCCACCAACCCATAATCATTATACTCCGATGAATCAAATTAGAAATGCTAAGGGGAAATATTAGGGATACATGGCATTTCTTGTGATTCCAGAATACTAATACCGGGACCTTCAGGGACTTAAACTGGCAACTTTTAGCTGACACACTTAACAGGGCTACCTGCCTTGGGGAATTCACTCTCATACATCCACAACACAGACACTGCAGCCCGACACGACACCTTCTGGCCGGTTGAAAAAGCAAGTCAGATTACAACTTCAGGTGTTTGGGAGAAATAACCTTTCAATAAATCTCCGAGTGCACAGTGATGCCGTGGGAGGGTCTCTCATGAACAAAGCTTAGCTAACAGGCTCATGCCAAGCTTCCATTTCCCTGACCTTTGGCAGTTACACCAACCATGAGCTTATTCTGCCAGAGTGTGCCCACATTTGTGGAGGCCCACTGTGATCATGTCTGCCTCCCATGATCCTTCAGCTGTGGGCATGATGGAAACATCTGTCCTGATTGTATGACAGGGAGCACTGTTCAAGATACCCCAAAATCTATGCATGCACCATGAACCTAAACAAAGCAGTACTGTCTGATGGTAGGGATGCACTGAAATTTATGTTTTGTACCAAAACTTAATCTTAATTTTTTTGTTTGTTCAAACACCGAACCTGAAACAAACTTTTGGTAATTTCTTGACCATTTATGCAACAATTTGTTCAAATTAATGTATTCAATTAATTGTTTCTGAGTTACCAATTAAAAAAAAAGAGCAAAAGTAGACTTCTTCTGAACATTACATGCCTTTTCAAATGTCAAATGAAAATAAAAAACAATGAATGTCAGCCTCCTTTAGTCACCAAGCAAGATGTGAAACGACATTTGCAGCCCTTTTGTTTTCACTAATGTGCCATTAGTGTTAACAACTGTATAAAGCAATGTAATTATTTATACAAATCAATGCAGGTGAAATGCTTAATAAAAAGGGACATTTTTATTAAAATTAATTGTAAAATGTACTTAAATATTATGTAAAGCCCACTATAATAAACACATACCGATTGCATTTTGCATTGCCTGGCATTTAGTCGTTTTTCCAGGCGACAGACAAGAAATACAAAGTGAAAATAAATAAAAACATCACTTTATTATGGGCTTTATGGCTTTTTTTTTGGGGTGACAGCAACTCCGCAGCTGTGAGGACTATTGACTGTCCCACTGATTTCAGGATGGATAAACGTTGTGTTAACACGAGGGCCCATTAGCCAATACAAAAGTTGCCATATGTCAAACTACGGTGCAGCTGGCAGTTAAAATGAAGTTGAAAAACACTAATGGTTCTAGTGTTAAATGTCTCAATTTCAGTCAATAATCCTGGCCTTCAAAAAGAAATTTCCCAAATTTCTTTCAGGATTAATAATGCATCTGTTTTTTGCTTTTTTGGCTGCCCAAATTGCAGTGCACCACTACTTGAAAGGTAAGACAAAGGTCAATTTAATCCAAATAATTAAAAAAAATAACTGAAGATAACATTACATACAGCAAATACTCCACAAATGGCTCCAGCATACAAACACATAATCTAAAAAGGGGCTCCTTTTAGCCAGTGTCATGCGCAGGATATTCTGGACCTCAGTTATACGTTCAGAAGACCTTTAAAAACCTTAATGGGTTTTAAAAAACAACACCCCCACCACAGCAAATTAAGCCTCTGTGCTTATTTTAAAAGACTCATTCAGTGAAGTTTGTTTTTGTGGTAGCTGCCTGGATGATGCAGACCTGGATCCTAACCGCTGAACTACTGTAGTTACAAAGTATCATTGACAAAAGAGCTGCATGAACTCCACTCACCACGTAAATTCTCCAAGACAACAGGAACTACCGCACGACCAGAAGATGACATTACAAAAATTAAGAATCTTTTCACAACACTGGATACACAACCCACATCTGGGTGTGATACAGTAACAGTGAAATCAAAACTTAATGCATGGCTAAATCTGTGTTTGACGGACGTTCACTGCACTTCAGGGAAGCGCACAGAATTACAGTTAAAAACATGGACTCATAACTCGAAAGCTGCTGGTTCAAGTATTACAAGGACCCTGATACCACACCCTCCAAAAAGGTACTTAACTTGTAATGCATCACCCAAAGGTGTAAATGGTAAACAGAAAGAATAAATGCTAAATTTATAGAGCACTCTGGCCACAACCTATGCTTTAATCCCCTCCCAAGTAATAAGGCTTTCCTAAGGGAAGACATGTAGAATATTTACAGTCAGCGAGATCCCAATACAAAGCACAATGCCCTTGGTATAAGGCATAAGATTACAGAGGCAGATGTGTTTCTCCCTTGGATGTTTAAATATACAGTCAGAAATCTAAAAATCCATGCAGTCTGAAGTTCAAACTGTATTAGGCATCCATATGAAATAAAGCTTATTTTATTTCTGCACTGCACCTTCACAGAGCCCTTTTCCTGGTAGGGCGGTCAGGTGGCTGCAGGGTCATGCAATTCGCTGAGTGCTTATGCTGTGTTGACATTACACTTTTCACAGCACAGATAACGTGGGGGAATCTTAGTCTACATAACAAAATTTCACTGACGTGGAAAGAAGCTGGACACATTGACTGCAAGGAGACAAACTGCATACACGCGGGAGCAGATAATATACTGGTGATGTGCACAAATCAGGAATTCAACACATCTTAGACATGTATCTGTACATGATGTCTTTCCATGTAAGCAGGTAAGTTATTTTTTTTTTACTGGAGCATCCATTGAATCAACCTAAACATAGTTTCCTTCTTAGACATATATGAAATGTTGATGTGGAAAAAGAAAACACAAGGACTGTTGCAAAGTACCAATAATTGTTTTTGTAGACTTGAATGGTATCTCATTTTTTTCCCCACACTATCCAGACATTATACTGTGGTATATAGATATTTTGATGGTATTTTCAAAAACAACACTATTTTAAAATCTTGTTGGCAAAATTCAACAGAAAAAAAATTGTGGGCGTGGGGTTGGACAATTTTTTTCTTGCCGGACCACCCCACCCGCCTTTTCATCTAATTTTGTTGCCAAGATGTCAAAATTCCACAGTACAGTCAAAATACTGTAGTATACCATATTACTGAACAAGCCTACTCTTGGAAGTCATTGCTTTGACCACAGGAAAAGTGTGTTGAGGCCCTGGAGTGGCGATTTTAACGCCTGCTTCAGTGACTGCATAACAAAGTTACTTGTCTTGTTTCTGCTCATGGGATGTGCATCGTGGCAACATGTGCACTTTCACGAGAAGCTTTCATGTGCACGCCACAAAAAAGGGGGAGAAACACACAGACAGGCCGATGCTGTCACAGATGGGAGACTTTTAGGTCGTTGAGTAGCACAGTGTAGCTCCTGAGGCAGCCTTTAGTGTTAAGGATGTCAGACTTAAGCCAGGGGAATCTGAGAATATTATGGATAAAAGATTCTAATACCTGCAGGAGGTCGCACTCAAGCAAACACTTAAAAAAAAGTCAAATATCAAAACAAATCAATTCTTCTGCATAAGCCTGGAAATACATACAATTACTGTTAAAATAAACCAAATGAAACAAGCAGTGTGACATGTATGATGGATGGTTACATATCCAAGCAGCCTGCTTTATAGCAAAGCAAAAATAGTAGGAAAAAATAATTTTGATCACAATGTAAAACTTCTGAATGACCTCCCTAGTCTATGGCTGATGCCCAGTGCATATACTGAAATTCATTCCATGTAAACTGATATTTTATAGAAAAGGATAAAACGCACTAATCAAAAGAGTAACCCTCAGACAAAATACTTTAACGGGATCATGAAGTCTAAACATTAAACAAACATCTGAATTAATAGCAACTCATACAAAAACAGTTATCTAATTCAGTCAGCTATTAAACCTCCAGAAAACTGCTGCAAAGAATAACCACTAGATTCCTATCTAAAAACCTCTCATCTAGTGCTATAACAGACATGCTGTAATATAACCCAATTACCCTGCATCCAAGTAACCTTCCCAGCCAACAACCTCATTATGAAAAATAACATACCCGAATTTGCTTAAATAAGAAATGCCTTGTATAACAAGCAAACTCACACCAAAAAACAGAATGTTCTACAGCAGAACATTAATCACACCCTTTTACAGCTATGGATGTAACAAATGTAAAAAAGAAAAAGTGGGAGGGACTACAGTGAGCTCTCAATCACCACCTGGTTTAACCCAATGGAAATGAACAGTGTAGCCAATGGGAAGTGAGTTTAGATAGATAGTGACTGGAAACACACAATAGTTCTGCCCAGGATTTTCCAAAGCCTCATTTTTCCTGTCACTGTTCAAAACTATCCCTACTGAGCAGAGGATCCACTTAAAAAGAAGCCCAACCACAAAGCATTATTACAACATGCAGTCAGAGCCAATGCAGCTATAGGGGACAGTGAGCTGAAGGCACAGGAATGAGCCGCCTGCATATCGGCTCGTGCTCTTTCTGCGCGTCACCCGAACACGGACGCGCTCAGCTCTTCTCCTCCTCTTTGGAAACAGCCCATCTCCTACCTAAGCTGAGTTAGGGTGCCCTTATCTGTCAGTTACTCTCATGCCCGCTTCCTGCTTCACTTTGCGTTTGGGGGGGAGGTGGCTGGGAAAGCTGCTGAGGGAAGGGGAGAGAGGTGTTATTTGACAGGAACGGCATGCATTTCTGCACACACAAATAGCAAAAAAATTAAAATAATCAAGACGGCACGTGTACACACTTGTGAAATGAATCGCGGGCTGTGGCAGCTCTGAGAGCTACTCGGGCGGGGCAGGGCAGCGGTGTGCCAGCCTCACAGAACAAACATTAAAAACCGACTGCTGTCTGAACAAACACCCACTCATGAATGGTTGCTATGGACAAAGGAAAGGCTATTTAGGCAATGAAAGTTAAAAACCAGAGGACACTGCGTCCCTGACAGAGCTGAATAACACTGAACACAGTGAGACTATGAAGGGGCTGGACGAAATTTTCAGTGAACGTTCATAAGAAGCACAAGTTCTTCGGAGAAGATAAAAAGGCTACAATGATGAGTCTTTAGAAACTGGTAAATGCAAAGGTGCCCTAGACATTTTAATTCATCATAAATGTTAAGTCTTTTTTTTTTAAGCCAGAACTACACCAATTTGGTTATTTCAAATGAGGTTTGAAAAAAGATGATAAAGGTTGCACACTTTGTAGCTCAGGATTTGTTCACAAAGTTGGAGCAGCAGTAAGGAAACTTTCTCCCTGAACAGAAACAGGTTTATTGTGGATTCTATGCATTTTGTCTCAGTCCAGCTGTTTATTATTCATTTTCACACATTATAAAGCTATACCAATGGGTCTAACCTGATAGCATTAAAAAAACAAAAAACAAGTGGCTGAGTATCAGGAAATAATTCCTGATTCCGTGTTGCAGGAAAGTGAAAAGACTTATTCTGAGAGATTAAAAACTGCATTCAAACTCCGGAGTCCCAGATTTTTTTCTCATCAATACGCCACACTGGCTTTGCCCGCCAAAGACCAAAACCCTTCAGGAACAAAAGCAGCTTTGTACATGGGAATGCACTTCTTAAAAACTTAATTACAGTCAAGGGATTCTGACTAAAAAATGTGTCCCGATTCCAATAAAGCTATTCATAATTCATGTCTGAAGTAGTATGCGATTATGTCATTATCCTTCAAATGTCCTTAAAAACAACAAATAAACATATGTTTACAGGACAAGTCACTTGGTAGCACAACAGAAGATCTTTTAAAGGACGAAAGTGCCGTGTGTTATCCATACCTGGCAGACCCATGTCTGATACCTATTTAGTTTTTGGCAGTCTGTAAAAAGATAACTACTATTATTAAATCGATTTGTACAATCAATCGCATAACAGCTCTTTCCCATTTTATGTGCCTTTTTTTTTTTGTGGCTTTCAAGCCGAACACCAACGCTGCTACTCAGTTTTTTGCCACTCAGTGGGTGTGAACACAGCGACTTCTATCTGCTGTGACATCATGTGCATAGTCATTCCAGCACGAGGAGCATCAGATAAGAGGCTGACGATCTGGAAGTTAATGACACTTTTAACAGCAACTAGTAGCACAGCGGTTTGCAATCTTTGTAAAAAGAAAGTCCTGACGGGTGCAAGTAGCAATTAGTGGAAAATCCCACTAAACAAAGCGCACACAATTTTGTTAGAAGACACAATGGATAATTCGGGAGTTGCTAGCTTGGGCTGTTTTGTGCATTCGCTACAGCTTGTTATACACGAGGGGTTGCTATCGCAACAAAGTGTAAGTGACACTGTTGCTACTGGGAGAAAAACTGTGGGGCATGTTAAGCATTCACCACTTGTGTATACTCTCATGGAAGATATTCAAACTGAGCTGCAAAAGTCTCAAAAATGCTTTGTTGCAATAGCAGCCCCTCGAGTATCACAAGCTGCAATAAGTACGCAAAACAGATCAATGTAGCGACTCCCAAAACATCCATTGCTTTTATCACATTACTCGCATTGTCTTGCACAATTGTGTGCATTTTGTTTCGTGAGATTTTCCATTAAATGCTACTCCCACCACTCAAAACTTTTTTACACAGACTGTAAATCGCTGTGCTACTAGTTGCTGTTAAAAGTGTCATTAACTTCCAGATCGTCAGCCTCTTATCTGATGCTCCTCATGCTGGAAGGGTAAAATACTCAGAGATTGTCGCCTTATCTCGTGTTCTTACATTCCTCGTACTGCAAAGGGTATGCGCATGACGTCACAACAGGTGGAAGTCACGGCATTCACACCAACTGAGTAGCAGAAAAACTGAATGGCTGTGTTAGTGTTCAGCTTGAACGCCGCAAAAAACACACATCTGAAATGGGAAAAAGCTGTCCTGAGATTGCCTGTAAAAACAGATTTAACACGAAATAAAATATCTTTTAGAGACTGCCAAAAACTAAATGAGTAAGTATCGGACGTGGATCGGTCACTCATGGCCGATAGCAGATTGATCAAAAAGGTCTGGATCAGTGCCTATACTGATCCGAATATCGCATCTCTAGTATTTATATATTAAATATTAATAGGTAAAAGAAGCGCTTGTATTGCAATCTGTATTGGTATCGGCAGTTGTCTATCAGAATCGGATCAGAACTGGAAAAAATGTGGATCGGCCCATCCCAATTCTTTTATACAGTGCGTCCTTTGTGTCTGTGACAGGCGCTTTTTAAAAGCTTTTACGTTTCCTTACTAATCTTTTAGTTTAGTGACTAAGGGTATTTAGACAGTATTAAGATCACTGGCTGTTAGTTTCCTAAAAACTAACAACTTTAACTTTAACAAGACAACATAAAAACAAAACCAAGACATATCATGCAATAGGACATGACAAATTCACACAATTTGACTTTATTGTATAAAGGACAGTTATTCTACTCAATTACCATGGCTATAATCAGATAAATGTGTTAAATCTATATGAGACTTGTATCCGAGAGCACCTAGATTACTACATTAACCCTTCATATTTGACTGAATGCACAATCACTGTGCCTTGTAAGAGTTATCAATGAGAATTCAGCAGATATCCAAGCTGTGGATCGCCTGATAAGCCTCAATATGCACGACACACAGGATAAGTAAGGGTGCAAAAAGGCCGAACAGCAGTCATACCGGCACTGCAAACAAACTGCTGCTCCTCTATGGCAAGGCCCTTCTCAATACAGCCATTCAAATTTTAAACCTGTCACGAATGATGATACTTAAAATATCTATTCTGACCCACTGACTTAGAATATCAACATGACTTATGAGAACTCATGCTTTTCGGTTAAAGTCATCTTGTGATTTACTGGAATAAAATAGGAGCAAAAGAAAACTTTAGGTAAATAATAATACACAAACTTTGCCAAAGTATATAAGTTATATATATACACACACACGTATGTTCATACATATGTCTTGGCTATATTTTATTATGAGAGAACAAGACAGCATCAAAAAAAATTGCTTAATCTAGTTACTAAATAATGTTGAGGGGCTCTGTAAGTACAAATCCCCTAACAATTCTGTACATTAGTGTATGAATCCACTGGTGTTGGCTTTTTCATTAATGGGACAGGACTCAAAAGGCTTGCAGATTCTGTGTCCATGGTTCTATGTGGCTCAAACACTATGCATTATTCTGCAATGGACCAATATTATTCTTAGCAGCCCAGAATGTTGAATTGCACGCCTAAGTTATTTCTAAGTGATTTAATGTCTTTCCAACTTCATGATCCAAATCAACTTTTAAATCACTGATTCCATGTCTAAAACGCTGATAAATGAAAGTGTTTTTTTAACTGGTTGAGTAACTGGAATTAGAACTGAGAAATATGTGGAAGTATGCTGGTAAAAAATTTCATTGCACTATTAACAAGAGACAGAAGGCAGCTTCTAGGGGGTTGGATGAAAGATGATGACATTCTGTTTCCATAGCAACCTCTGTAGCCTTTATGGATGAAATGCTTAAGTGTGGTGAAGTACTAAAGACTGGCTATAGGATTTTCCTACTTTGGTCATTTGAAGAAGGCAAGGGGACCGGTATGAGGGATGAAAAAGTTAATAAATTATTGGTCAATTATTCTGTCATCTTCAATTTCCAAAGCAAAATGAAAACGCACTTATGAATTGTTTTTGCAGAAAGGTGTCCGTGATGTGAACAAAAATATGTATGCAGTTGTTTGGCAAGAGTGAGCACGTTCCCTTGAATGTCGCTATGCAATGGGGGGGGGTCTTCACCCCCAAGGGAATGATGTCACATGTAAGATGAGGCTCTGCGGAGTCGTTGGGTACAGGCAGTGAGAGACGCACACTGTGAAAGCTTCCCTTTCCTGCATTTACAACAAATACTTACCTTTATAGCTTTTATAGCTGATTTTGTTATCTGGGTCATCTTTGCTTTGGATATTGGAGGCTTGTATTCATTCAGAGAGTACAACTGAAAGACACAGTATAGAAGAAAGACATTAGTTTGACATTTTTGAGGACACCAGAAATGGCTTAGATGTTTCCCTTGTAGGCTTTTTTCAGTTATATTAAACTACCTAAAGCGGTCTAACTACATAAATGCAGATCTAATTATTTTCACATTGTAAAAGTTGGTGTTTTTTTCCAAGGAAAAATGTGAAGAACTCTGCAATATGATTAGGAATTACTGACGTTCAGCTGTATCATATAATCTTAATACTACACTGAATATACCTTGATTTACCACATGTATCACTCAACTGGAGTTTAAAGCTGACTAAACATTTTAAGTTGACTGCACATCTATCATATTGCACATACTTGTGCACACATATGACACAAATGTTTGTGTGACCTTTGCGTGGTGGTTATATTTCACTGGACATAAAAACAGGGGCTCGGAGCACATTGGTGACAACAAACCAATTTCAGTATTTTCAGAAGTACTTGAAACCAATGTGATGGTTTCAAACTGTGACAGTGAAAGTGCTTTGCCTAAATCTGTCCACAAACACTGGAGAACAGTGTAAATCTATTAATTTATTAATGAATGTTTAAGAGCTACTGCAAGTTGACAACCTAATATTCCACTACAGATTACTGACACAGATGTATATGTAGTGGATATTGACCAAATCTGTTTCTGGGGATGGAAAAAAAAATTTGCAAATCACCAAACTAAGAAAAGCAGGCATTATCCCCCTCTAGCACAATTACGTCAAGATTGGGCACTGAACCATATTTTGCTCATACTGTACTGGCCACACACTGTACTCCATGGCCTACTTCATATTACGTAATCAAGGGCAATTCTTCAAAGCCATGCTGTCAAACATGGATACGCATTTCCTTAAAAACACAATAACGCATTTCCTTGTACAAAGCACAATAAAATTCGCAAAAAAAAAAAAAAAAAAAACCTAGCCATCAGTCTACACAGCCCTTTAGGGAGTGCAATACTTTGATCTAACGATGTAAATAAACAGTAGCTAGCCCGATCAGCCTTTGTATGCCGTTTTACGAAGTCATCCTCTGCTCTGTTAATGTGTAGCCGCCTAGTCAAGATCGGTACCAAAAGCAACAGCGAGCTAATTTAACTAAAATTAATAAACGCATTACAGTTTTGCAAAACACGGCTTTGTCTACCCCGCTGCCCGTACACCGTTAGCAATAGCTACGTAATGGTACGTGCAATTTAGCCGTCCAGCTAAGAAAAGGCCGGTTAGATGGATGCCTAACGAATTTCACGCGCCGATTAACATGATATAGGTGCACATATTATCAGCTGTTAGCATCTTAACTGGATGACCGGTTTAGGCGGCCTAGTAACTAGCTAGGGGGAAATTAATTATATATATAAATAAATAAATAAAAACACGGCTAACAGGCTAACGCTGACGGGAGGGCACCATCCGCTCGCACGGATAACACCGACAAGGTGGATTATTTAAGGTTTTAGCGCATTTTAAAACGCAGATTCTGCGCGGCGGAACCGCGCGGCCGCGTCCCGGCGCCGAGCCCAGACGCAGGATGGCGACACCGCCTCGGACCCGCTCGCCATTACGGTCCCTCAGCCGGCGCACCCGAGACGATTGCGGCTGGCGGAGGACTTTCGTCTACCGCCACGACGGAGCCGGAGACTCTAAAGACGGGTGTTTGGGCAAACTTCTGACGTTACGGCCCGGTTCCGAATGCGTTAGCTATCCTGTGCAGAGGACTGAGGCCTAGTTAACCCAGGTTCCCACTGCCCTTCTGTATCCGTCTCCAACCCCAGAATAAGCCAATACACTTCAATTGAAGAATGAGATACAAACCTCGCCATTAAATGCTTTAACGGCCTCCATGGTGTTACTATATATATATAAAACAATATATATATGATAATGGCGGCGCTTTTAGGGTGTTCGCTGTGCTCTCACAGCCCGGTTTTCCGCATGCTCTCAGAGAGGCGTCTAACAGAGGTGGTAGGGAAGCCAAATATGGCGGCCGGAGGGGCGAGAAGAAGCAGCGCGAGCCTCCGACGAGCCCGCGCGGCCGAAAGCGGCTACTGCAGGTGGCAGCCGCCGGCAAGACGTGACAACTTCAATCCAGACTGGTGAAAATCGATACCCTCTATTCCCGCCATATATGTAGAGTTAATATTTCAAAATTATATTCAAGTGAGATTTTCATGTCAATATATTGTCAATATAAAAATGTTGCAAAGGAGATGCACAAGACACCAGAGAAATTATGCATGGAATTTGTATTGTTCTCTGAATTGAACCAGGTCAACACAGTAGAAATGAGTGAACTGTACATATTTTTATACACTACTGTACAAAAAAGACATTTACAACTTAAACTATAATAGCAAATGGTACAACTCCACATATAATTTTTACAGAGTTCATTGTTAACTGATTTCGCAAAAAGAAATCCTCTGAAATGGTAATTTCACTGAGAAACTGGACCGTAATTCACCACAATCCTGATACTGTTAAGGTATATCCAGTCACTTACACCTAATGCCTTTTAGTACTGGGGTAAAAGTGTATGTTTACAAACTTGGTTTGCATGAAAGAGAAGGAACTACATATTTACAGACAATTAAAATCAGTCACACAAATACTTCGTCGTGAATTGTTTTCCTGTGAATCGTGAATCACTGGCATTAAGTAAAACTGTTTCAAAAGGCACAGCAATGTAATGTGAACCAGTGGATGTTAGGACTTCTCCAACCCCAGCGTAAAATACAAAACGACAAACAACACACCCACTGTCTTCGTGCCTCATATGTGCGACCGGAGTGTCTAGCTACTGTCACGAGTTTTCACTGTGTCTGTAAAGAAAACCATATGGACCACTATATCAATAATCCAAAGTGTGCTTCAACACACAAATGAATGTTAAAAACTGAGAAAACTGGTAAAAAAAAAAAACACAAAAACAAAACGAGTGTTCACAACAGTACCCAGAAATAAAAGCGTTGTCACTTTAATATGTACAAGTCCTGTGCTGTAACAGCATTTCAGCTCTGCTCTTTGCTTGGGCAAGCAGCAGGCAATAAGTCAGTGGTTGTGGAAGGAGCAGGAGCCTCAAAGACAGTTTCACACGCTAGTTTCTGTGTAAGGGGCCACACTGGCCACAGCAGCAAGGTGCTCCACACTGCCCCCTGGAGGCCCCTGTGGCGTACAGATGTCCTGCCACAATGGCAGATGGGCCTCCTTCCATTTCCTGTACTTGAAGGCAGTCAGATCAGGATCAGTCAGAACCTGCTCTATGGCCAGAAGATCTGCCTCTTTAGCCTAGAACAAAGGAGACATAAGGCAAACCCATAAGCTGCCATTAAACCAACTTTTGTTTCATTTTCACCAAAACAGTATCGCTATATTAGCATTGCTCACAGCCACAAGCCATATATGGATGTCAATGACTGATTTGTTTCACACCTAAACAAGGAAACTACCATTAGGGTTACATGGAAGCTAAATATCCCACAATTTTGTTTTACAAGCATTGCTATTAAAGTTGTGCGGTATCCATTCATATAAGTATTCATATTACTTGGTATTTACCCATGTTTGGTACCTGCTACAGAGCATCAGATGCTTTTTGCAGCAAGAAAATATAATGATGTCATTAGTCATCACTACACTTTACTGTACAATGCTGTAACAATAAAACATTCATACAACATGTAAAGATTCATACAGGCCAACAGGCTAATATGACTGACTACAAAAAAACTGAAAGTATACCAAGTATACTGTTCTTTACAACAAACAGCACTGCAGAAATGAGAGATAACCAGAAAGACACTGCACATTAAAATACTTGCTTAGAGCTGCAAACAGGCTGTTTTTTTCCCCTCGGTGTTAAGTCCGTCTGCTTCACATCCTGAATACTCCTTAATTATGAGTGCTCATCCATCCACCTATCCATCCATCTTACAACTGTTTAGCCAGCGCTGGTGGGGGATGTGTTCCGTCATTAAGTTCAAGTCAAGTTCAATTTAGCTGCAATTCTCCCACCTAGCGGTGTCAGTTGAGATTGCAGCTAACCACCTGCTGCGCACCTTACCCACCTTAAGCGTGCTGTTCAGTGTCCGGATGTGATGTAGCTTCTCATTCATAGTCTGGTTTTTGCAGCGCTTGATGAATGACTTTCTAAAATCCCTTTTAGTGGATGGTTTTCGGTCTCCAATTGGTGATAGACTGGCTTCTTTCAGGTGAATGTACAATTTTTCCATTTCATCTGATGCATTTTCTGTTAAAACACACACACACACACACACACACACATTAATTATTTTTCTATCTCCCCAAATAAAATGCAATATTTCTGGCCGCACACAAAGAGTGATCTCTCACGCTAATTATTTATATTATTCACGTGTAGAAAAATGGTTTTCCATTTCCCTTATAAGCTTAAATGTTTATGTTCTGATGACAGTTTATTGCACCCGTCTGCATCAAAATGAATTGTAACTAGTTAATTTAACGCATTTATCACTTCTGAAGAGAAACAAAAACAGCGAGAATATGGCTGCGTTTAACATTTTGTTGCTTTGCAGCCAGGAAATGTGGTGCACGGTACAGACAGACCTACGGACACCTGCACACAATGGCGAAGAGCTCAACCTACGATTCTGACAATGACAGAGGTAACCGTCCGGCGACAGGAAACTCAATCTGTGTGAGTTTCCCCTCCCCAGAACAGCCTAACTACGTGCAAAAGGGAAGACTGTCTCTAAGTGCCATGATGGCTTCATCACTTCTTGTTTTTGGCTGAGAGGAAGCGCAAAATGAATAAAAACAGTCACGGCCACATAGTCATATGTCAACAAATCAGCCAAAGCACGGTCTTAACGCATTCCTGCCACTGAAAGAGGCATCTTTAAGAGTGAATCTCAACTTTCTTGTAAACCGAAAGAGTAATTTTGGAACATTCTGGCAGTCGCTTTTGTCCAAATCTAACATTAACTGTCAAGTCAACATTAAAAAATCTTTTCCTTTTACCCTAATTTTTCACAGCAGACTAAGGAAACACTGGATAAGAATTAGCTCATCTTCACTAGCTTTTACATCAAACCCCACTCCCCCCACCATAATACACAGTGCAGCCCACAGGAAGACATGAAGATTTTCCAGTTTATTCCAGTGGCTGCACACAAAGTCTCAGACAAACATGGGGGAAGGGGAACCTTCAGTGAAATGAGGGTACTCTTTATTCTAAGGTCTAATTAAGTCTGTAATTAGCCGCATCTAATGGGCGCTCTGTGCTTAACCAGTCTGCAGCTGCTAAGCGGTCTCACCCTCTGCGGCATCTGCTGGTGAACACCCTCCCCGGTCGGCGCAAGGGCTACCACTGGCTGCCAAATCCAGGGGCTTCTGCGCCAGACAAGCCGCCACATTGCACCCCTTCTGCTCAGCCTCTAGGTGGAGCTGTTTGTGGGCCTGCGGCGAGCAGTGCACCTCCCTCCTGGCCGACTGCGTGATGATGTCCAGCGACGATCGCCGGTTCTTGGTCGTGGAGGAGACTGAGCTCTGGGACGTCATCGTGCTGATGGGAGTCGAGGTGGAGCCTGACGCCTCGCTCTGAGAAGGCGAGGAGTAGGGTGGAGGGAGACTATCCTGTTTAAACAGAGGGACGCCAAATTAAAAGCAAGAATAAAGACATTAAACACTAATTATTTGACACGTGTAGATTAACGCTTTAGGTAATTCAGTCTGTCAGCTGCATCAAAACAATGCATAGCAATAAAAAAAAATGTGCATAAACATGAAGTGACAGTGTTACGGTGGTTAGTACTGCAGCGTCAGATCTACCTAGCTGGGTTTGCATGTCCTCACAGTCTTTGTATGGATTTCCTTCTGGTCTACCAGTTTCCTTCCACTCTCCAAAGGTATACGGATTAGGTGGACCGGAATCTGTGTGTGTGTGTGTGTGTGTGTGTGTGTGTGTGTGTGTGTGTGTGTGAGAGAGAGTACTCCGTTATGGATGCACATCCTGCCCAGGGTGTCTTCTGCTTCGCCTGCTTCCTGCGATTCCCGAGAAAAGCTTCACAACCGTGCGGATGGAACAACAGAAAAAAAAAAAAAAAAAAAAACTCGACTTCTGTGTTTTCTTAACTTTGGAGATCACCGGGTGGAATTATTCCCCCAGGAGTACGGATGATGGATAGTGTCGGTTACCGTGAAAACAGAGTCTCTTTGAAAAGGGACCCTCTGGTACTTTGTTACTGCACCAGAAACTGGCATAGTGCTAAAAAATAGCAGCACGTCACCTGCCTATCAAGCCGCATTTGAACAAAAAGCAACACACAGCCAACAAAGCCAACATATTAGATCTGTTTATAGCCACAAGTTTAAAACGAGTCACGCGATCCAGCCGTCAGACCGAGCTGCTCTTACAGTGGACGCTTCTTCAGAGTAAGGGGGAGGCGGCACCTCCGTGGAATCTGGCTCCTCCTGGTCACTCGCTTCACTATAACGCTCTGGAGAAAAAAAAACACACAAACACACGTATATAGCTACACTACCAGCCAAAAGCTTTTGTGCACCACAGGATTTCACCACTTTTTCATTTATTTCATAAACTGCAGATTTTTCATTCTTGTTAAGCATTCGATAGTTGAGTGAACAAGTATGAATGAAAATAAGTTACATAAAACGTTTCCTTTAAGCATGGGAAGAGTATGTAACGGGCATGTCTGACATCCTATTAACTGGTTATGTGATGATGGTATAGTCAAATTCTAGGCTGTCCTTTAACTTCAAATAAAATAGTTAACTGTTTCATCCCATGAGACAGAGCAGTATGTAATGTCCCTTGTAGTAAAGAATGACTCAAATTTTCTCTGCTGTTATAACTGCTAGAGGTGGTTACTTAGATGAATTACTTAGATGAATCGAAATTAGATGAATTTTCCTGCTAATAAAGGTACTCAAATGGTGAACATACTGTAAATGTATGTTAGTAAAGAATACTGTGTATTTTTATTAAAATGTTAAGGGAGTAACATGCGAATGTAGAAAATCTCAGTATGTGCAAAAACTTGACGGGTAGAGTACGTCACCTATGTGAAAACAACAGGCAGAGGTTAGCTCACTTTCATTAGCACGACTTCCAATTTAAGCCAAACCACCAGAACCACCAGCTGAACATTGAGCGATAGCTCACCTCCCGGATTGTCTGTCGGCTCATAGTGAATGGAAGCCAGCCCCAGTTTATTTAGCCATCTGAAAGCAAACAAACACATCTGTGAGATAAACTCCTGCACGCATGCCGAAACTGTTTGAGTGTAGTTCACTAAATGCTAAGATGAGCGAAACAAGTGAAAGAAAAATTAAGTGACTTAAGTATGACTGTCAATTGTGTGGTACAATCCTGCTTTTTTCCCCCCACTAGTCGCAAAACCTTTTTGATGACCAATTGAATGCTTTAGCTGCCGAATTGTCACATGTAAATCGAATCAAAATCGTGGCGGTTCATCATGCAGGAGCACAGATGCAGAGTGTGACTCGTCAGCGGCACCAAGCATGCAAGGGGGGGCTCTCAACGACAAAACCGCAGTAAGATGCGCAGGGCGGCACGTTTCCGTCACTGCCTGGCCTGAGGTCCTCACATATTCATGTCCTCGCTGCTCTCTGCCGCGAAGTAAAACATCATGACGTCAGGGTGACAGGCCTTCATCGCGCTGCGGAGAGCAGGAGGGAGGAGATGCTCAGAAAGGGGAGAGATTTTCTACCAACTCGAAGGCGAGACAAATCAAACCATCATAACTCATCAAAACAAAACAGATTAACTGCTTGAAATGAAAGTACATATCAATATGCACTGGAAAAAAAGACGACGCTGACTCGGTTTCCAAAAACAAGCTCTGCTGCTGTGATTTACGTGAAGCAACAGGCCAAAATAATTCCTGTAACTCGAAAAAACAGTATCGTGTTTTCATAAGCTGCAGTGCATTTTCCATCTGTCCATGGCTTAACTTGCTTTTACTTGTACATACACCCAATTATGCAAAGATATGTGTGATCAAAAGTGGTTTAGCTGTTCCTGTCAAACATTCACCACACGTTTCAGCGCGATCTGTTTCCTACAGACGGGTTTAAAAACATTTCAAAGCAAACTGCTCCCTTACTGCTTTTTCTTGCACTCCACTGCCCGGTCGATCAGAAAGTCTGCCAAGTTGATGTAACCTTCTGCCTTTTCAGCCTGTAAGGGAATCAACACCACAGTGTAAGACATCACTATCATTTAGAGCATTCAACCGTTACTACAACACTGATTATTCGACCGTAAGGAAAAATGTGAAGAAACAGCTAAAAACATCATTGGCAGGTTCTACGGTCTTTAATGTTTATTCTTCTGAACCATCATGCCGCATGACCTGATTGGACGTGGTCCAACGAGTCGGCCAACCCTTGGGGTCAGTCTGTGACCATTCGCCAGCTAACTAACACTGATTCGACAACGCGGAGAAACTCAACATCAGTGGTCCTTCGTGAGAATGCCACTCACCATCTGACTGGTATACCAGTATAGTGAAGTCCTCTTCAGCACAAACCAATATTTCTTCCACTTGATACCCAGGAAGCCTTTTCCCTCAGTCTTCCTGTAGAGCCAACCTTGGTGGTCCACATTCCCCAGCTCCTTCACGGAAATCCTCCTCCGGCTCATTGTCACATTGCCTGGGGATGCAGGACAGCCAGTCGATGTTTATGTCCTTTCGAACCCAAGTCAAGTTTTAGGAAGCGCTGCATCCGCGATTCTGACATCATCAAACCACTCACAGTCAACAGAATCAAAAGCAGCCCAAGATCTTGCCATAAAATAACTCAGTGCACAGTCAAAACAAACCCTTGGAGATCTTACCTCGATCCTTCTTCTTCGATTTTGGCCGCAGAGAGACCTGTTTTGGAGAGGAGGCAGAAGAAGCAGTGGGGTCAGACAAAGGCAAAATGTTGGGGGGCGCTTCGCAGGTGCGGTGTAGAGAGCGTGCGCAGATCAGGGCGTGAAAGCACGGCTGCGCAGCCAGCGCTGTCAGAAGCTCGCAGCCGCCACACACGGCTCGACTGGAACATCCTGTTTCACACTAAACACCGAACATGAAGCCTCCCACATGCACTCGCTTCAGCTCGCTCTCTACCACCTCCCCCAACCTCATCTTCGTCTCTCTCTCTTTCACCCCCCCCCCCATTCCACCACCCTACCCAGATGAGCGAAGCAGGTCACTTTTCCAAAGTAAATTGATACAAATTGCGAGGCGTTTCACTTTACTTTCAAAGACTTCGCTTCTAACAAGCCATGTTGGGCGGGATAAGTGTTGCACATTGACGGCAACCACTGACATAACAGTAGCATCAGCCACTCTGTTTTATTAATTATTCATTCCACAGACAAATAAAACGCAACACAACCGACAATAAAGAGAATTTTCTCATTAATTGGTAATGCGTAAAAAAAAAAATTGCCACCTGAAGGGAAATAACAGAAAACAATTATAGTTATAAATTTGACGCAGTTGCTGTAGAGAAGGTGCCACCAGCCTTGCTGGAGATAACGAAGGACTACGGTAACGGAACTTACTGGATTATACCCATCAGCTGCCATATTCGGTGCCAACGAGATGGGGAAGGCAGCCTGGAAGAAAGAAACCGCACAAACTCGTCAGTGAATTACATCTTAGCCACAGTTCGATTAAATCGCTCCCTCCCCCGAATAATACTCTTCTCCTTTTTTTTCCCCCAAAATAACCTATACGTCTTAATTATTCAAGCCAGTACAAATACGATTACTGCACCTTTAGTAGCGCGGCCACTGTGTCCCCAAATAAGTCACAGCAAAAAAATCTAAACTCATAACTTTAACAAAAAATAAAATAAAAGGACGGACGAACTCATCCTGTTGACCATGCAGAAGGGAACCGAGAAAGGAAAACGCTGCCAGCTTCGTGCGCAGAATTAGCTTTAATCTTTCTACATCGCTAAATGAAAATTGAGCAAGAGCCCAGCGCTGAGCTGTGCGCGTTGGCCAACTTCCTACGCCGCGCGGGTTCCTCATTCGCAGCGCGGCCGGACTGAGGAACAAAGAAAATGAGGATGCAGCGTCTGCCGGTCAGTCGGTGACAGAAAGGTGCCAAAGTGCGCGTCCCATGACATCTTCTGACAGGCCGGGCACTTCCTTCGATTTCCAGGTTTGGGAAACCTTTGTTAAAAAGAATGTCTCCTTTAACTTATAAACATTAAGAAAAAAGGTTTCCACATCTTACCGCTCAGTTTCGTACTATCGATTACGACAGATATTTCCACGACGGGTTTCATTCTTCCTGCCCACTTGCCCAGAGGCGATTCTAGGGACAGTTGGGGCCCCAGGCAAAAAAAATATATATATATGGGGCCCTCCAACGCACCCCGCCCGACATGATAAAATTTATGACCATTATTTTACCGTGAAGTCTAAATTAATAATATCAACAAAGACAATTTAATAAACAGGAAAACAGAATACACAAATGAAGCAGATCTGGCGTCCCAATGTACCAATTAATCGGCTCAGCTCGGGAGCGCCCAGGCTACCTTGTCTGTCCGGTCCCTACGCCTCTTTGCTTGCCCAAAAAACGCCTCTCAGTCACGCAAGCCGGGTAACTGAGTATATTACTTACTAGTACTACTGCAACCTGTAATACCAATAGGCCTGTAACCTGTAATACAAATATGCTCCCTGGCCGATTGACGTATTTCGCTATGTTTGAGGAACAAAGTAGCAAAAACCTCTGATTAAGGAGGACTGTCTCAAACAAGAAGTCAAACCCCTAATTTCAGATGACAGGGTCCATGGGCAGGATCCTGATGAATGGGGCCGTGAATCTTAGCAAATAGAGAGACGACAAGAATCCCCATAATATAAGAGTCCGGGAGATTACACACCCGGCCATTTGTCCTTGCAGTCGCTCAACTGCGTAATGAAAGCATGTCAAACATCACGGGAGATTCGTGAATAAAGCAGCAGATTTGGTGGGTAGGCTGAGCGGAAAGCGATCGCCGTTTTCTATAAATACAAAAGTAATAATCTTCATTTCAGTTGTCAAACTTTTCTTCAGGGATACAGCTTGTAATTAGTAAGGGGTTTATAAATATACCTTCCTGCAGCAAAGGTACATTTAGTTCAAGCAGTCATGTCAATTTCTACAGGTCAATGAGTGTACTGTTTATCAAGTCTTTGTATTCGGATAACAGAAAATAACTACCTACATGTAAGCAAAGTAATACAACATCACGTACGCACAGATACAATTCTTGCATGTTGACTGTCACGGGAAATAAATAAAAAAACAAAATTACTCAAAGATATATACTATATCATACCTGGAATCGAGCCAACGGATTGAATTTTACAGAGCACATGTTATAAGGGACTTTAGTCCTAGTCGCTAATCTTTAAATCGTACGTGCGGAATTTTCCCTTGGTGCCATAAAAGTAATTAACGCTGTATATGTTTACTCCTGCACCAGAATGCAGAAAAAGCACTGATGAAAACGATATATGCAATTTAAAGAACATTAACTAACAAAAACAAATGAAATTCAACGAGGGACGCCTAGCAAACAGCTAAATCGTTGTTTTGAAGTCTTAATGACTCTATCTGGAGCATGTGTGTATTTTCCCGTCTGTTTTAAAGAGACAGGGCAGTCCGTAACCACAGTGCGTCGCTGTTGTGCCTTCTTGTAACATCTAGACAGTCAGTTACTGCACACGCTACGGGTATTTTCTAGACTTTTTCAACACTACAGGTACCGCTTATTTTGTTCTATCGGGTACATTTTATTAAGGAACACGTTTAGGCAATGTGCAGCGTAGTGACTGATACAAAGAAAACAGTACTACATAAAGAATTCAAACGAATTATTTTGGGGAATGTAGAACTGGAAAAAGAATCAAACAGCCAGTTGGTTTACGAAAGGGGAGTAATGTAGAGTTGGGACCAGAGGTGGGTATGTCCCAAGTATCTTGAACCACTGGGGTTGGAGTAGATTGAGAACATTTTCAGCGCTCCTGCACACACAGGAAAGCAAAATGATTGCACTGTTTTCAGTGTCCAGTTGAATTGTGCCCCCCCAAACAAAAGTGTCAGTTAGAGCTAGTTATCTGTTCTTAGCGCTTGAGTAGAGGGATGTCGCCCCCCCCGAATCTCTTTCAGCAAGTATCGGCCCCAACACTACTGCACTAAACCCGCTGACTTCTACTCGTCGTAATAATTCAGAAGCAGGACACCTTATATAGAAACAAATCGTGGATTAGTTTCTATCCAAACATTTTCCTAAACAAGGACCAGGGGGGTGTAAATAAGCGTCCTGCTGAAGTGGTTGAAGAAAAATGCTTCGGCGTTCAAGAGAACGCATGATTTAGATATTAAATATTTAACCAAGCTCGGCTGATTAGTCTGCTCTGATTTGTAAAATTACTCATGTTCAGTGACAGACATTACGTATGTAGCAGGTGTAGGTTGGTGTGTATTCACTTTCTTACACAATAGACACACTAATGACTGCAACACATGCAACAACAATGCAAAGGACCAACAGTGTGTGTGAAAAGGTGTGTTATAGAAATGCTAATATTTAATAGATTACCTCTCTAGGTGGCCCTAGTTGTGTGTAACACAAGGATTACCCTGTGAACTGTTAGCATTGCATAATGAAGCCTTTCACACGCACTGCGGGTGCATTGCTGCCTTCTCCGGCCCCCGAAGTTCCCAGAATGTTCTTGCCCTGAAAATGGGACGGGAAAATTTACACGCATTCCTGAAGCGGGCTTAGTTTGAACATGAACAGGCAAAATCTAAAAACTATTTAAATGTTCTTAAGATATTTTTTGCGGATGACTTCTTGTCTGTTTGGGCTCTTGCGTGAAGGAAGCCGCTCGGTGACAACTGCCACCCTGCCGTCTCTCCGTTTTTTTTTGTTTTTTTTTTTTGCACCATACAGTACAGCGATTCTTTTTCACGAGGTCCTAGACGTGCCAGGATCGGAGCCGAGGATGGTATTGGATTTTTATTCCGATCCGCATCTGCGAAACCGAAGGAGACTGGCACAGGAATATCGAGTAACAGCCTGATTATTATAATTACCCCTGTCACTGTCGTGACCCTTCTGCGAACGGGGCTGACGGATTATGTTAACTCCCCGAGTGCTGCGTTGACAGCTCACGTAAGTACAGCCATGTGGGTGGATGGGCTACCCTACCCAGTTTACCCACCCGGGAATCCAAAGAATGAGAAGAATCCTAACGTGTGGTTTGGAGTGACACTGTAAGGCACTATATTTTTGCATATTTATTTTGCAAACGCCTTCACCCAAAGCAACATACATTATTTTTGAGAAAGCAAATTGAGAAATCAGTCCCTGGAAGCAATTGGTGGTTAAGGGTCTTGTATAGAGGACCCTGGGATTTGAACCAGCAGCCTTCTGAGCAAAAATACAACATTTTTTTTTAACCTAATAAGCCACACAAACCTCCTCGATAACAATTAGGCCACAGCTCTCAATAGAGAGGAACAGAAAGTGAGAAAGAGATTTTCAAATACATTCTGCTTTTCCTGAAAGTCCACTCCTTGACCAGAGCCTCTTGTCCAAACATCCAACCAGCAGCACGGTAAAACAGGAACATGTGCTGTTGTTTCCCTTCTCACAAGAGGAAAGACTTTTACAGAAAATAACAAGGGACATTTTGGGAAATAATAATAATTTGGTTGCCCTGTACCACAATAAATGACAAATTCACCAGAAAATCATACTGACAAAAGCCATGCTATAATAACAGAACTATTTAAGTGAACTATTTGAATTGAGCCCTAAAAATACCCCTTATGGTATTGATGTCTGCATATTTTCTATTGCTAGCACATTAAAAAGCACTTTTCTATGACAAAACTGATCTCATGTTTATCTGTCATTCTTTTCTTTCTCCAGCTGTGAATGACATTAGAGCAGGGCTGTATGTTTAAGAGCAATCAGATTGCTGAATTACATCATATTATATTACTGTAGCGGAACTAAACGAACAGAGAGCATTCATTTTGCATACTATAATGTATACTGTACAGCAAAAATGAAGGTTCAAGTTGTGTCATAGGTCAGAGGACACAGATCCACTATTGCTGCTGAATCACCATTTCTGTCCCGTTTTGTATTAATATGGCAGAAAAGCCGTGATATTAATTATTCCTGTTCAGATTGGATAATAACAAAAAATAATGATAGCTGGTAAGCTTCCATTTATATGTATCAATGGGAAAATATATAGAGAGACAAGGGTCTGCTGTGTGTCTCTTTGCCAGCCCCTGACACTCCCAGTGTATTTGGTTGCATGTTTTATTCCCTGTGGGGTCTGTGGAATCTCGCTAATGCCTCTCGTCAGAGAACCACAGGGTCATGGCGGCTGAATTCTTTGCTCCCCAGCATCGCGACCAGCAGAGGGGCGTGGCTCAGCTTTTTCAGTAAAAGCGTCACCTCTGGGAAGCTGCCAAAGGAAAACCTTCCCCTTTCCCTGATTATACGGCGCCTGGACGATGGCGGTCCGAAATAGCGCCCGCGAGCGACCACATGTGACAGGCAGCGGGAGGAACATGAACGGGCGGCCTCATCGTCACAATTCTCATACCCAGCTTTTGGCAGGCAGGGTGCCGTGGGGGTGAACAACTTCTGATATCGGGAACAGACAAGGTTTCTGAATCTGCCCCAGTCAGGATTATCGGGGTTGGAGACATCCAGTCCAAATCTTATACACCTTCCCCTCACCAAGGATCTTCATCCATCCATTTTCTATACCTACTACATAGGACCACAGGGGACTGGACCCTATCCTGGAAGCTACAGATGCAAGGTGGGGAATAAGCCAAGCTGGGACACCAACCCATCACAGGGAACTGACGCGCACACATTCCCATGCAAGGGGAAATTGGTAACTCCAGTTCACCTTGGCACGTTTTGGACTGTGGGGGGAATCCGGACTACCCGGAGGAAACCCCACGACGACGCGGAGAGAACATGCAAACTCCACGAAGGTAGAGCTCAGACAGAGACTCGAACCCTGAAGAAGTGTGAGGCGACGGTGCTAACCACATCATCGCGACACCGCCTCTGGCGCCATAAACGGAATAAAACCACCACTGCCAGTTTTCCACTGTCCTGGCAAGGTGGCGCACAGCCCAACATTGAAAAACATCCTTACCGCTTGAGAGAAGGACCATAATCTGGTGCTTGACTCGTATCTAAGGAGAGAGGAGAGAGAAAAGCAGTTTAGCAAAGTGATCAGGCCTTCAGAGCAGCTGACACTGGATCCCAGTGCATGCTCAGATTTCCAGTAATATAATTAACTTTATTACACCTTAATGTATCTAGCAGATACTTTTATCCAAAGCAACACACATTTATGAGAAAGCGGGGTCTATTTGACCCAACAGTGAAATGACCCAGCCAGCCCTGGGATTTAAACTGGCAACCTTCTGATTCTTAGCACAGTGTCCCAACCCGCTGAGCCACACACCATCTCATATTTAATTAGACGATTTAAGAATCACGCATTTGCACACCGTGTAAAATTCGCAGCATCAACCGACCTCTCCCAGCACCTAGCTACCTTTTAATAATAATAATAATAATAATAATAATAATAATTTAATTTAGGGAAGGTGTATTTTTTAAACAGTTTTTAAGGAGAGGCAATATGTGTGAGTCACACCCGGTGTGGCAGCATCAACCGACCTCTCCCAGCACCTAGCTACCTTTTAATAATAATAATAATAATAATAATAATAATAAACTTGTGTTGGGTGCTTCAGCTTCACATTTTCTCCTCAAAAGTAAAAAAAATATATAAAAAGATTCACTGCCTGAGGGGACCAATGAATTTGATTCTTCATTGGTGCACAAGTGAGATTTATTGTCCACAAGCCTGTAATTACACCCCACAGAGTAAGGCGTTCTGCTTTTTAAGCAGGAAGCTGATTTCTCTTAATTATGGACAGGATGTTGCTTTTCAGTTGAAAGGGAACCATTTTGAGAGCTTCCAGGCAAAAACAGGGAACTGTGTCTTCGGTTGTCCTGGCAATGATCATCAAACAGACTTCATCAGAAACTAGTAGGTGACTCAGGCTAACTGCAAGTCTTTGGACTAAGGAAGGACACTGGAGTACCCAGAGGAAACCCCTATGGCAGTGCTTCCCAATCCGGTCCTTGGAGATCCACATTTTTGCTCCTGAGAGAGCAAAAATGTGGACTGTCTGTGGGTTCCCGAGGACCGGATTGGGAAACACTGCCATACGGCACTGGGAGACTTCCACACACAGTGCAGGCCCAACTCTAGAGATGTGAGGCAACAGTGATGCTTACTGGGCTGCCTAAATAAATAATAATAAAACCATCAACACAGAACACCCCCTTTCCATCCACTCAACTGAACTTAAACTCAACTGAAACTGAACTTGAGCTCAGTTTGCGTATTTCCCATTTGCTAGCAAGGTTGCCAGCTCACACACATCTGATGTGATGCTCACGCTTTCAGACTGCCACGCTCACGCAAGAAATCCTATGGCAAATCTACATTAGTCCACAATAGACCTGAAATCAAAAGCGTTGGGGGCAGTTTGCAAACCCTACAGATTGTTTACAAGGTAATAAAACTGCTACATACGTGTAAATGCGTGTCCAGATTTGTCTCGTATTGAAAATCTCATACCAGCCAGCTGACCAACTTTGGCAACCCTGTGTCAGGCTGTGAGAGATGTGTAAATCGAGGGACAGGTGCACCCTAGGGTCAAGGGTCACATCTCTCTTTTCTGATGCTTTCATGAAACGTTCTCAGATTTGTTATTCTGATTCCTTTCGGTTTCTTCCAGGTTTAATGTTAGCTTGCTATTCTTGCATCTTTGGCTGCAGATTTAAGGCCGAAAGCCACTGCACTCTTTCCACCCAAGCAGACCCCCCCCGTCACACCTCCCCCTGATATTGACAGGCTTTATCATAAATATAACCATAGTTTCATTACTGGAAGGAATTGGATGCATTAAATCACACCTTCGGTGCACAAAGTCCCTCCTACGCATAGGTAGCTTTTTGAGGTATTTTTGGGTACAGAATCGTGCTGAATGTGGCTCCTGGATATTCGTGATAAACACCTGGCATGTACACACCTGTCCAGAATGCTGCTGCTGGAAATCCAGTCAGATACCTGTGGTGAACAGAGAGTAGAGAGTTAATCTGCCCACAGGATAGTACTGGAAGGTGGGGCAAACCAGTCCCAAGTTGACATCTATCAAGTCAACCAACTGTGCGATTTTTATTGGACGGGTCCACATCAGGTTTTTCCACTGAGGTCTGGGTCTGACCTCAATTGTGCATGAATCCTTCTCTATTCACCTAACATTGTTCAAGAGCTTTGCAGCTTCCCACATGTGCGTCATAACTGTTAAAGTTTAAAATCAGGGGCCAATGTGAGATAAAACACCACTACAAACAATCAGCAGCCATTAATATCTGACCATCTGCTTTAAATACAATGGGTTTCAAAGGGCAACGTAGGAAAAATAGACTGAACAATAATCAAAGCAGGAAATGATGTCATAATTCAGTGTGAATAACCTGATGTGGTCTTCAAAGTAGGAAATCAAAAGCCACTGAACCAAACAAAAGTATACATTACTAGACACACCCCAGGAAGTAGTCTTTTGTTTTTAGATGCTGGCGTTTATATCGCGATCCACCCCCACCAGAAACTGCATTCACAGCCAGCATTTTACAGTTGGCCTGGGACAACGAATGCCTTTGGTTTCAATGCATCTCCCAAGAGGAAGCGAAATTTAGAAAGCCAAGGAACACCTACATGCCCCGCCCATCACCCACTGAGCATGTGCACAGAAGAAAAGCTCATTCGTGGTCAGGCACATTGAGGCGGAGGCAATGGAGAGGAGCAAGCAGAGATTAGGAAACGCACCACACTTAGGCAGGAGGAGTGCAGAGACAGAGCATGCAGATGCAAAGAGAGGAGAAGGGAAAGGATTACCCCCCCCCCAGTTCAGCATGTTTTATGGTCTTTCAATTTATTGCTGGTGTGATTTTCATCCAAACTAGAAGACTCTGATAGTGTGCATTATTAAAAACATGATAAATGGAATATACCTCATCTAGGTTAATTACTTTTGAATTTTTTTAAATGCCACCCATTTGATTTAAATTACAAATATTTGATTGAATTTTCCTTCTGGCCATAAAATTAAACAAAAAATGTGCAACCTGTGCCTGAAACTGATTCACTTTTTTTTTCTTCCCTCTTTGTAATTCAAGCGTAAGTGAATCGCAAGCAGTTAATGCGTCAAAATTACCACAAGTGTGAGGGATTTACGGCTGCGGCTCAGCAATGGACATTCCTGTAATAATAGGCGAGATATCCTGTCGCAGCACATGGCCATAAGCCCGGGGGTAGAATTATTGCCGGAAGGTCGCAGAGGGAAGATGGCAAGTGACGTGAATAAGGTTAGTCTCAAATATCTGCTCATGGCCTTTCCGTTTATATTGTCGCTCTTTCAGTCCTGGGGTAGTGTGGTGCCCAACCAAAGCCACTTCATTTGTGCCGTTATTAGATGTGACACACTGAAGTTTGTTTAATTTGAAATAAAAAACAAAACAAGGAATAATTTAAATCAACTGCACCTTTAATATTCTATACTCAAAAAGGTTACAAAACTCAAGTCAGTTGCAATGCATCGTGGGATACATGTTTCTTGACATGAAGCAGTTAATACTGTTGCTCACTCGCATTAGCAATTAGTACTATTGCTCTGAGACATTGACCTGTGTGGATAGCAGATGGCCCTCTAGTTCCCAGGGTTCATTGGGGCTGAGGTCAACGCTCTGGAGCCAATAGAACCAACATCACTGAGAAATATGTGGGTTTCACCCAATAATCAACCAGCTTCAATTTTCAAGTTTGTTGAGCTCAGCCAATGACAACATCTCTAAGACTCAAGATGGTCATCTGTTCGCCCACCTTTTCTGTCTGACCCCAGGCTTCTGGTGCCATGGTAACCACATCCACACAAGTATCTTGTTACAAGTAAGTCTGGGTAAATCCTGCATTGAACAGTACTGTGCAAAAAAGTTTAATGCATAGATTAAAGGCCTCTGGCAGCAGTGAGTACATTTTTTTCAACCAAAATGCAACAGTGAACAACAGGAAGGAAAAAAAATACACAAAAGCTTTGTGTATACAAACTGACAAAGATGCCTTATTGCTGTTAAATTATTACATTTGAAGGTATTACGAAATGGCATAGGAAAAAAATGGGTGAAATACTTTGGCAAGTGAAAAATAATTATAAAAAACCAACACAACATAAACTGTACAGGAAATATTCCACAATAAACAATGAAATAATTTAAATTATCACAACAATGGAAACAAGGTCAACGTGTTCTAAACCTGAATAAGTTTTCTTTTTCTTGAAGTAGAAAACAGCCACACTGGTAGAACCCAGACCAGGACCATTTTGCCCTCCCCACTCACACACTGAAATGTTCCGGAAAGGTAGGGGGGGGGGGGGGGGGGAAAAAAAAGCCCCCCGGGGGGGAAAACCCCCCCCCCACAGGGGCGCGCCCGAAAAAAGAGGGGGGGGGCACCAGGGGGG